CGCCAGAAAAACGCGAGAGAGAGAGAGAGAGGGAAGCAACTAAGAAGAGAGGGAGAGCCGCCACCGAAAAAGCCAAGGGGGAAGAGAGAAGATCTCGTGCCTTGGGGTTTTCCTTTTTATAGGGAAACCCTAGCTGAGCTGTCGACAGCCTGGGAAGCTCGCCAGCAGCGCTTGAGCTCGAGCTCGCATGTAGCACTTGAGCTCGACCTCGCCTGCAACGATTCGACCTCGCCTGCAGAGCCTCGAATTCGCCTGAAGATTCCATCGACATCGCCTGCACGAGCTCGCCTGCGCGGGGTTCTCGAGCTCGCTTGCACTCGCCTTCGAGTTCGCCTGAAGCCGCTGATCTCGAGCTCGCCTGAAATTAAGTTGTCGTCCACGCTCGCCTGCGTGGAGCTCGAGCTCGCCGGAGTTGAGGTTTGGTCTTCACCCCCAAATCCAACATTTATAACTTACATTTATTCGAAATGTGTCTATTAATATTAGTATATAGGATATGTATACTGGCACGTGTATAACAGATTAGCCAAGTTTCTTCTCGTTGTTTTTTCCTTCAAGCAAAGATTGTAGTGATGACTTGAATTTGGGAATACCTTGATTTTACGGTAGAGATGTCCTCTGATTTTTAGCTGACAAGTTGAACAGCTCGAAAGTGGTCGTATTTAAAGCTTATAGTGTCAGCTATCGTGGACGTTGTGTTGATGCCCATATTGCGTTCCATATCTGGAGGACCTGCATTTGACCAGTCATAACATCTATTCCCTTTTTTTTTTTAACTCACGCAACGCTCATTAAGTAGAATCTGAAATATCAGCCTGTATCTCACCAAGGAAAAAATCGGCGCAAAAATTCAGCCATGAAATTAACAACATTATGAGCACTAATATTAGCAAGAACGGACGAGAGTTTAGTCATAACATTAATTCTTGTTCTATAAAAAAATATCATGAAATTGAGACATCAGCCTCTATCTCTACGTTTTCTCTCCAGACTTTTGAGTCTAAGATGTCTTTGTCCAATGCATGTGGCTTTATGACCATGCTAAAGTGGCACACGGGCACCACCAGGATCAGGCACCTCTGCAAACTCCAAGCTTTTACGCTCAAGCATTCACCTATATCTCCGTGAACAATTAAAGATGATGTTTAAAAAGGTCTAATTAGGGATTTGATTCCCACAGTAGACTTGTTGTGTATTCTTAGTTAGACAAGTGACTAGATGAATCAAAAGAGGGGATTTGAAGCTAGTTTTATTATGTAGAAAACTACTGGACAACACATAGTAACATTACTAACATATATCTCTACGTCTATTACAAACTTTACATCGATTATCACATTTGATAACATCCTCATAGGAAGTACTTATCATTATCAGCGAAACATTCCTTATGGTACTTGAGGCCACGAAACTGAAACCTCCGTTTGATTAGGTCGAAAAGTAATGCAGTGGCTCCTGCTCTTGTCCAATATTCTGCAGTGCAACAGGAATTGGAGGCATGTTAACCTCAAGAGCCCCCTCTAGTGTCTGCACTACTTGCCCCATCGCTGGCCTGTGATCCTCCAAATCCTGAATGCACCAAACCGCAACTTTACAGACCCTGCTCAGTTCGTCAATATCCGCAACATTCTCCAATCTCTCATCCAATACGCTCATCACCTCCCCTTCAATAATCTTTCTCGCGGCCCAAGAAGGGTAAAAGCTTAAACTCCCATCCTCTGCATGCATAGTATTCCTTCTACCTGAAACAATCTCAAACAACATCATTCCAAAGCTGTAAACATCGACCTTTGGCGTGATGGGTAATCCCGAAATCCATTCAGGTGCGAGATATCCTACAGTCCCTCTCATAGTTGTTAATACACGACTGAAATCTCGGCCGATTAGCTTTGCCATGCCAAAATCCGCTACTTTTGCACAAAACCCATCGTCTAAAAGAATGTTGTCTGGCTTAACGTCACAATGAACGATGCACTCTCTGCATTTCTCGTGGAGGTAAGCCAATCCCCTTGCAGTCCCGAGAATAATTTGAAACCTTGTCACCCAATTTAAAAATGTTGGATTATCGCGAAAGAGTTGAGAGTCTAATGATCCTTCTTTCATGTAATCATAGACGAGAAGTCTGTCACTGCCTTTGTAGCAGAAACCACGAAGACGGACTAAATTGACATGTTGAACGGCTCCTAGAGTGCTTACTTCTGTTCGGAATTGCTTCTCTCCTTGCCTGAGACCTTCTAGCTTTTTAACAGCGATAGCAGTTGAGTCTGGCATTGTGCCTTTAAAAACTGTACCAAAACCTCCACTGCCTAATTTCTCTGAAAAGTTCTTGGTCATCCTCTGCAGCTCGCTGAATCTGAATTGAATCAGTGAACCCTCTACTTGCTTCAATGCTTGAGCTCGCTTCCTCCTGCGATAAACGAAAGCTAGCGCAAACACAACACAGATGATTGCAATAACACCAAATACCACACCGAGGATAAGTGGTATTGCGTTGTGATGTGAATTTCCTGAAGTCGGGATATCAGTAGCTAAAAGACGAATAAAAAGAGTACTACCTCCGATATCCCCATCATGCAATTGCTGAAGATTTCGAAGATCGCCCTTCCAAATCGAGCAACCACCGCTATCATAAGCATAAGCATTGCAAGAACAATTGTTCATGCATTTGGATTCGCATTCTTTGCTACTATGAACCATCAAATTCTCTCGATCTGCAGGCAATTTCACATTAGCCATCTCCAAAAACCCGTCTTTGTCTCCACACTGCAACCGGGATTTCCTTGAACACCCCAGAGTCCAATCATTCAGTTCCCAATCTCGATCATTTGCTGGGTGAAATCCATCAGAACACCGACAAATACTCGAGCTTTTCTCATCACACACACCAAAAGGCCCACACAAAGAGTAAACATCACAATGATGCAGTGGCTGAGTGAATACAGGTTGCCACTGTTCCTTAAGCCAGTACCATTGTAAAACTTGCCCAGTTGAATCCATAACACATCTTGTAATCACCGAGTTCGCCAAAATTGTATAAGTCGCAAACTTTCGCTTGCTATTATCAATAAAACTGAAATTGAAAACTGTATGTTCTTTAGTTCCGGGGACATTGCTAAAGAACTGGCCATTCCAGAGACCACTAGTCCAATATATTTCAGACCCATTCCAGAGTATAACATACTGATTAGATCCATCAGGGTCCATACTCTGAGCAAACAATCCCGGTGCAGGGTCATCAGGGTTTTTCCAAGATGTCAGGCTCTGATACTCTCTGGTGATCTTGTTCACACCGAGCCAGCCCCCAGGCATCCAAGTATCGGTTGGGTGATCGAAACTCTGCCAGAGATACGAATCAGAGTCTGACCCGTTGATTAGTACTAGATTTCCAGTATCAAGAAGGACGGCAGAGATTGATTCTGGAGTGGAGGAAGATGAATTGGATGACCAAACTGGGGTGCTTGAGCTGTTATTGTAGAGGGCTAAATTGCCAGTTTTTGAAAATTTGAGCTTTGAAGTTGAAGGATTGGTAACTGGGGTTTCTCTGTTTGCAACCCAGATGATGGTTTGGACTGGGATGTTTTTGTACCAGATGCCTATGTAGTAGTTTTTAGAGGAACCTGGTTTGAAGAAGCCAAGCTCAAATTTTGCACCTTTGGAGGTTATGGTATTGTTGCCAGAGAGAAACTGCCCTCTTGAGATTGAATCAGATGCTTTGATGAGTAAACTGCTGTTGAAAGAGGAGAAGATGAGGAAGGAGAGCAAGAGATGAAGAGTAGGAACTGAATCCATGAGTTTGTTTCTCTGTAAACTCTCTGTGTGAAATATAAAGAAGAGGGTGGTTGGAGTCTTAAAGGCTCTACTTTCGTGTAGGACCAAAGTCAAGGTTTCTTCTTCACCTTAAACATTACAATAAATTAAGAAGCTTAATCTTCAGCGTTCAATTCTGTGGCTCTAGACTTGTTAGTGCTCATCTTTTCTTAAAACTTTCAAGCCAAAAAAGTTGTTCCATCCCAAGCAATTGAAAACTTTACAAAGCTGACTGCGGTAATGACCATATGGTCATAACTTTAATAGTTTAAAAATATTGGTAATATCCTTCTTGGTATCATAGTACATGATATATAAAGGACAAGGAGTCTACTTCGCTTGATTTTAATTAATGATGTAGATTTAACAATAAGACACCCAAAAAAGAAAAACATTGTTAGTATTTATAGCAAGCCAAGATTCCATATATGGCTTGCAGCCAGTATTGGATGCAACGACAATAAAATATTGACACAAAGAAACCGATTGATGCAGTGCTGACACAAATCAGTATATTGAATCAATTGTCATCAGAATCCAGAATAGTTTTCTTCCATCAAAACTGTTTAGTATTTGGTGAATAATTATGATTTGTCTTGAATAAGAAACATAAATGAATATGGTTCAAGAAAGATACCGTGATAAATTAACATTTTGATGGTGAAATATAAATGTTAAAAAATGAAGAATTGTGCCAATAATGCGAAGTAAAGAGGAGGTGATCAAGGATGAGGATAAAAGAATAAGATGATGTAAAAACTATGTCATAATGACGCTAGCACAAGTACCTCTAGCCAACTTCATGTATATGGATGGACAAATCTTATGACAACAACTTTCATTTACTTTGGCAGGAAAATCTTCCACAAAGTTTGTTTGTGTTGCGTCAGGTGGAAGCAACAAAGTCACAAGATGTGAACATAGGGCTTGTTAGGTCAAAAATAGATGACTGCTGACTAACGAAAGTGTGACATAATTTATATTTGCTTGTTCTAATCTTGGTCCACATTTATTAGATCAAGCCGGCATTTGTCATCTAGTATTTTCTGACCTACGTTTGAGGCAATTAAGGTGGACCAAAGATCTAAGAGGGGTTCTTATCTGGTATTTATTTGAGTGTATAATGTTTATAAATGTTTGATGTGAACAATTTAGTAGTATGGACCCTCAAGCTCATGTGCGATCGATAAAGCCTGGTTCCGGGAATCCTTGCTTGATTTTGGCGTTTCATTTTTTTTCCCCCTGGCAACCGTTCACGTTGTATTCTCTCTCTTTCTTTTAAGAACAAGGACACAATATTTAGGAAATTTCTTAACTAAAAAAATAGATACAAAACGTACATAAAGAAGAATGGGGGTGAATGCGAAGAAGAGATAAGAGGAAAAGATTAGAAAATTTAAAAGACTGATATTGGTATTTGAATCAAAGGGTCTCTTTGTTCCGCAAGGATCTTCTGTTCTCGCGTACGCTGATGAAATACTAAAATAAAAATAAACATACCATCAGATGTCTGAATTTGATCAGAAAGACTCTTTTGCTTCTTTTGTTTCAAATGTAAGGCTGAAGAAATATAACTTCAACGTTGCCAAGAGTCGCGAAGTACCGCGATCGATGATGAAAATGAGTCGAAGCAATACTCGACGAGAGTAGGAGCCAAAATATTAAGAGTGCCAGGTTATTGGAAGAAAACGTTGTTCCTGAGCTCATACGCTCATTATGAAACCGAAAAGAAAAAGAAAATAAAGGCACGTGGTGGTAATGAAACGAGGGCTTCATAAGGACTCCCAAAATCGGTCAAAGATGAGAAAGGATTACCATGAACAATCCACCTTAAAAATCTATTGCTCACTATTTTCAGTTCAAGTTCTTTAATCAGAATTATTAAAGTTCTAATCCTCTTCTAATTAGAGTTGATATTGATGCGATTCCAATTATAACTTATATTCACATTCAACTTTCAATATGGGTAAAATTATTACCGGCGCCGATTAATTGGAAACAAGTCATATATAATCACATCGATAAATTATTTCCACCGGGACTCCAAGTTCAGTTGGGAATCTGGGACAAAATTATACTCCACTCTATAAACGGGTTGTGTTACTGGTTCGCGCGGCGGTTCTTTCTGAGTTTATAAAATCAGAGAGAATTCAAGTATTAAGTGGGAACCAATTATCTCTTTTCATCTCACCCTAACCCAAGGTAACACACGTCTCACTTTCCTATTTGTTGAGGATCTAGTCGCTGTTGTTTGGCTCAGAGGTCTGCACAATCAGTCCTGTTCTTCTCTCACAGTGCACCACCAAGAACACAAAGGGAGAGTTCACTGATCTCCTCCAACCGTCACTCACAAAGAGGATCGCACAAAGGGGTTGAGAGCACAAAGCCCACAGGAGCACAAAGCTCACAGAAAGAGAGAGATCACACAAATCAGAGGAGAGCTCAAGCTCAAATCTTCACCTCTCTATCTCTTCTTCCTCTTCCTCCCTCTCCCAAGCTACTACCAACCCATTACCCATATATAGGGATGGGGGCAGCCGACAAGGGAGAGGAGCTAGGGAAGAAAACGAAGGAGGGAGCCGACCTACGGATGGGAGCAAGCGGCGGCCATCAGATCACGAAGACTTAGGAGGGGGTGAGAACCATCGGGTAGGTGAAGAAAAGAGAGGGGCTAGGGCACAAGTGGGGGAGCTGGGTTTGATCGTTCAATTTGTGGACCTCTCGTTCATGGAACGAATCGAGAGGGGATTTTGGCTTTGGTCCTAACTGTTTAAAGGTTTGACCAAGATGGGAATTTGAGACGATCCTAACTGTTTAAAGGTTTGATCGTTCAATTTGTGGACCTCTCGTTCATGGAACGAATCGAGAGGGGATTTTGGCTTTGGTCCTAACTGTTTAAAGGTTTGACCAAGATGGGAATTTGAGACGATCCTAACTGTTTAAAGGTTTGATCGTTCAATTTGTGGACCTCTCGTTCATGGAACGAATCGAGAGGGGATTTTGGCTTTGGTCCTAACTGTTTAAAGGTTTGACCAAGATGGGAATTTGAGACGATCCTAACTGTTTAAAGGTTTGATCGTTCAATTTGTGGACCTCTCGTTCATGGAACGAATCGAGAGGGGATTTTGGCTTTGGTCCTAACTGTTTAAAGGTTTGACCAAGATGGGAATTTGAGACGATCCTAACTGTTTAAAGGTTTGATCGTTCAATTTGTGGACCTCTCGTTCATGGAACGAATCGAGAGGGGATTTTGGCTTTGGTCCTAACTGTTTAAAGGTTTGACCAAGATGGGAATTTGAGACGATCCTAACTGTTTAAAGGTTTGATCGTTCAATTTGTGGACCTCTCGTTCATGGAACGAATCGAGAGGGGATTTTGGCTTTGGTCCTAACTGTTTAAAGGTTTGACCAAGATGGGAATTTGAGACGATCCTAATTGTTTAAAGGTTTGATCGTTCAATTTGTGGACCTCTCGTTCATGGAACGAATCGAGAGGGGATTTTGGCTTTGGTCCTAACTGTTTAAAGGTTTGACCAAAATGGGAATTTTGAGACGATCTTAACCGTAGGAAGGTTTGATCGTTCAATTTGTGGACCTTTCGTTCATGGAAGGAATCGAAAGGGGATTTTGGTTTTGGTCCTAACTGTAGTAAGGTTTGACCAAGTTGGAGTTTTGAGACGATCCTAACTGTTTAAAGGTTTGATCGTTCAATTTGTGGACCTCTCGTTCATGGAACGAATCGAGAGGGGATTTTGGTTTTGGTCCTAACTGTTTAAAGGTTTGACCAAGATGGGAATTTGAGACGATCCTAACTGTTTAAAGGTTTGATCGTTCAATTTGTGGACCTCTCGTTCATGAAACGAATCGAGAGGGGATTTTGGCTTTGGTATTAACTGTTTAAAGGTTTGACCAACATGGGGATTTGAGACGATCCTAACTGTTTAAAGGTTTGATCGTTCAATTTGTGGACCTCTCGTTCATGGAAGGAATCGAGAGGGGATTTTGGCTTTGGTCCTAACTGTTTAAAGGTTTGACCAAAGGAGGGTTTGAGAGGGAAGATTGATCCAACGAAGTGATCGAATCTCATCTCAGCAAATGAATATTCGGAAATCACCGTGGGGATGTAGTGTTTAACACTTTGTTTGTAATGATCGGGTTATTCCTAAGAAAATTACATATAGCATTCTTTCGGGAACTTCCGTTACATGAACCACCCACCCCCAGCTTTTTCTTGCGAAACTGAGTTTATCATTATGTTTAGCTATATGATCGGGTTATCCTTAAAAGTACCATGCATGGCATTCTTCAGGAACTTCCCGTGAAAGAAAGGAAATAGTTTAGACTCATATACCTGTTGGAGTATTAAGGAGCAGTTTATACTCGTATACTTTTCGGAGTGTGGGGAAACAGTTTATACTCGTGCACCCACTGGAGTTGTATGGTCGTCTTTACTCGACTTCTTTCGTCGTTATGACGCCGGAGTCAATTGGTCGTCTTTACTTGACTTCTTTCGTCGTTATGACGCCGGAGTCAATTAGGGCTTGGATCTTGTTTTTGAGTCCAAAGCAAATCTCGGTGGGATGAAGAATCCTTCTGTGGTACGCACAATAGTTTGGATCAGTAATCCTTTTAGCTCCATCCTGATCTTTAATAGGTGGTAGCTCGATTTTGTCATTAGCGATGAGGTATTCCAATATGGCTGGGGGGTTTTCATCTTCGAAAGAATACTCCTTTTGAAACCTCGGATCAAGAGTCGCATTCTCAATGATTGCAGATGTCATTGGTTGGCCTCTCTCAGCTTTCTTTCTTTTAAGAAAGTGCTCAGCTTGTTCACCCCGAGATTTTAACTCCTTCCAAGTTGTGGATGGCACAACCCCCAGAGCTTCCAGGACATCGATGGAGAGGTTATTGTGACATGTTTGCAGGATGAACTCCTCTGTAATAGGATCTCTGCAATTTATTGCTTTGCCACAGAAGCGTTTGATAAAATCGTCGACTGACTCTCCGTCTTTTTGCTTCTCATCCAAAAGCGTTCCGATTGACACTTCGGTGTCATCATCGAAGAAGTTGCTGAGGAACAAACTTTCCATGTCATCCCAGCAATTGATGCTCTCTGGCTTGAGCCGTCGGTACCAATCGAAGGCAGGCCCACGAAGGGTGCCAACGAACGACCGGATCATTAAGGCCTCGTTTCCAGAGATTATGCCCAAATGAGACTTGAAATAAATCAAGTGTTGAATCGGCGAACTCTTCCCTTCAAACGGTGTGAAGTTAATCAGATTGAATTTGGTCGGGTATGGTATTGAATCCCATTCCCTCGGATAAGGACATGGAATACCCGTCTTCTTAACTTCTTGAGCCGTCATCAAAGCATTGATTTTGTCTTCAAGTTTTTGCATTTTCCCGTCATCGTCTTCATTTCTTTCTGAATGATGTCGAGTAAAGATAATTGGACCACCCCCAGTGAGAGGTGCTATTGAACCACCCCCAATATCGTTATTGGGAGGATCCGTTAAACCACCCCCAGCGTTATTGCCATTGGGAGGTGTATCAGCCATAATGACTTCATCCACCTCTGGATCACTGTCATCTACTCGGGTAGGTGAGGGAAAATAGAGGGGCTAGGGCACAAGTGGGGGAGCTGGGCATTTAGTGGAATGGGCCAACTTATTGGGCCAACAAAACAACCAACACCATTTCTATGATTTTGAATCAAAAACTTATATTATGATGACCTTGACCCTAGCGGTGCGGTCGCCATCTCTGCTGTCGTGGCCGGCTTGGAGACCAATGAGGTGGCCGACTCGCTCGTTAAGAAACGTACGAGTCACCAACTATGAGCAGTTGATGGCCAAGACTCATGGATACATAGACGTGGAATACGTCCGAGCTTACAAGAAGGCCGCTAGAGCGGCTGAAGCAAAAACAAACACAAGCAATAGAGGCCAACCCCTCTCCAAGAGAGGAGGCGGCGAAGGATCCACCCAGAATCGATCCCATGCCAAACAGGCATACAGGAGGGATCGTAGGAGGGAGGTCTCCAATAAGCCGACCCTCACGGTTCTCAACACCTCCCTCACAGAAGCTCTCTATATGATCCAGAAGGAAGGGCACCTCAATTCCGCTCATCTTCGCATGAGGTCCTTAAATTTTAGGGTTTTTCAATGGTAATTAATGTATTTTGACAAACAAGTCATACTAGTTCGTAGTGCCTCTCACGGAAAATGTAGTAGATCTAGCCACAATATTTCTACATATTCTGGTTCTCTAAATTTCTCCAATTTGATGAGGTTTATCTAATTGTTATAAAGATAAAAACCCACGATCTACTCGTGAAAAAAGAGCTAAATTTTTGAAATTAATATCTCAACACTAGCATAAGTAATGTAGCTAGCTTTTCTTAATAATTCCAGGTATTATAATATTCACGACAAGTAACTATTTAATCTAGACCCGTGAAAACTGTGATGTTGATTATTTTCTTTTTTTGAGGTTAATATAAGACAAAATGGCTAAATAAGATGTGGTGCAAATTTTCGAATATCTTTTAGTCAGTGTCATTTATTCTACTTTTAAGTTCTTTTTTCCTTCCATGTCCATGTGATCAAATGAATCCAGAAACCTAAGAGCTGCAATTTTAAGTTTTCTAGGTTAATTGTAGACAGTCCTCTCGTACTATTACTCAATTGTGGATAGACCTTTGTAATTCTATTTGTACATAATTAAGCCCCTAAGAGCTGCAATTTTAAGTTTTCTAGATTAATTGTAGACATGCCTCTCGTACGATTACTCAATTGTGGATAGACCTTTGTAATTCTATTTGTACTGAATTAAGCCTCTATATGCGGATAGACCCCATGAGCGAACCTTTTTACTCATTTTTTCCAAGTGTCACTTTCCTCACATATTAAAATTGTAGGTCAAAGGAAAGTAATTAGCATGAACTGGATTTTTATTGTTTAAGCCCCGAATTTATGAGCTGTTTTCTTCAAGTCCACTATATATTTGTAGCAATGTTATCCGAAATCAAGTAGTGGGATGTCAATATACATCAGGAAATTTGACGCTTTAACAATCTTTATTCTGACCATAATCTCATGAAGTATGTATCCGGCTAAATATCTTTATTAAAGGTGCACACTTGCACAAAGGGCAATAGGGAAAGTCCCTAGGATGTAAATTTCGCATAAAATCTTCAAGTCCGCTATATATTTAGATCAGTTACATAACCTTACATCTGTCTCACAAAAAATCAAGTGTTGACAGTTATCTAACAACTGCAACCTTAAAAAATTACATTATTTAATGTGACACCCCCATACTTTAGTCCCATATAGACTAGTGTGAAGAAGTGTTAGTAGCTTAAATAGAAAAAAAACCTAATGCCCAAAAGTAACTAGTGCTAGCATTTTGATAGTGGATTTTAGCCAACATTGAGTTGTTCACGGTGGGTCTCACAGCTTGCTTGCGCCAACAGGCCCGTGAGTCCAACGCATAGTTAGTGCATCATTGACCACCTGCCAATGTGAGTAGGTTGAGAATTGCCCAGCGCATATACTTCGCATCCAAAATTGTAGATTATATGGAGAAATAACATCCTAATTTCCTGATGAAATAGTCCGAGCACCTTGTATTCTCCTCAAGAGGCATCAAAGCCTATACCTACTTGAGGAGTATCACTTGCTCGTCTAGAGGCATTAAGTTAGCATTTAGATATTATTTTCAAAATTTTATTTAAAACCGTTGATAAATCAAGCATATGCACATGATAGACAAAATATAAATTCTATGGTCAATCAACTGTGCCCAAGTCATCACATACTGTTTAGCTAAACGCACAAACGTCTACTTGTTGCCCTGTTCTATTTTATTCTTTCTAACAAAAAAAAAAGGAAGTCCCTGTTCATTTCATTCATAGTGAGAAAAAATGGACATGAGTTGGTGTCCTACAAAAGTATGTATAGAAACGTGCCCTTTCTCTAAATATATTGTGTAGGACCTTCTCCATAACCATATCGACGAGGATGACGAGAGGACCCTAGCTGTCATTCACCGCAACATTGATAGAGTTATGGTCCAAAGCCAGCCCTATAACTAGCATTAGGAGAAAGGAAAGTTTCTACACTAAATTGCTCTTGGCAACAAAATATGTAGCATGACATAAACAAAACAAAAAACAGACGGGAAGAAAAAAGAAAGAAAAAACACTGTCAGATGCAATCCTATGCAGTTAGAGATTCTAATTACAAAGCAGCAATATTCAGAGAAGCTTCTGCTGTTATGCTTGGCTTGTAGCATCTTCTTTTTCAATCCCTTGCCTTCTATTGATCTCCTCTTCCATCTCTTGAGCAGGGTTTGGGAGTTGCCCTAAGTGACGGCTGCGTCCGGTCTGCATTGTGGGTGGAGAGTGTGTTTCCAGAGCTAGCCTGAGTTTCTGTGCACATTTCCCTGAGGCTGACCCTGTCCATTCAATTATATGGTGAGCTGCAGAGTTGATAATGTTGTCAATGGATGGAGAAGCATTATTGAAGGTTTTGCTATTACGTGCATGCCATATGCACCAACAAACTATAGGATATAATGCTTGCCAAATAGTCTCTGCTTTGTGTCTGCAATGAACCTCCATCTTGAATTTATGAGCTCATACAGGTTATTTGGCCATCCGTTATGGGCAAACTTTTCCTTGTTGAAATTCCACACCTCCAAATGTTTTTGTACCAGATGCTTATGTAGTAGTTTTTAGAGGAACCTGGCTTGAAGAAACCAAGCTCAAATTTTGCACCTTTGGAGATTATGATAGTGTTGCCAGAGAGAAACTGCCCTCTTGAGATTGAATCAGATGCTTAGATGAGTAAACTGTTGTTGAAAGAGCCGAGAAGATGAGGAAGGAGAGCAAGAGATGAAGCGTAGGAGCTGAATCCATGAGTTTGTTTCTCTGTAAGTTCTCTGTGTGAAGTATAAACAAGAGGGTGGTTGGATTTTTAAAGGCTCTACCTTTGTGTAGGACCAAGTCAAGTTTTCTTCTTCACCTTAAATATTACGCTCAAGAAGCTTAATCTTCAGCATTCAATTCTGTGGCTCTAGACTTGTTAGTGCTCATCTTTCCATAAAAACTTTCAAGCCAAAAAGTTGTTCCATTCCAAGCAATTGAAGACTTTACAAAGCTGACTGCAGCAATGACCATATGGTCATAACTTTAATAGTTTAAAAATGGTAATATCCATTTGGTATCATAGCACATGATATATAAAGGACAAGGAGTCTACTTCGCTTGATCTTTAATTAATGATTTAGATTTCGCAATAAGACACAAAAAAAAAACAGTGCTAGTATTATAGCAAGCCAAGATTCATTGGCTTACAGGAGGAAGAAAGTTTTTGAGGAGGGAGATTGACGTAGCGGCGAAAATAAAGAAGTCTTACCACGAGAACTTCTTCCACAAACTCAAGAAAACACACCAAAACTTTCTTCAAGAGAAGTTTTATTTAATTCAAAGATGATGGCTAATACCAAATTACATAGTATTTAAAGAGAAATCAATCCTACAACCCTAAAGAAAGTATTTAAAAGGAAATCCTACAATCTTAAGGAAATTTAAAATAAAATTACTAAACCACCCTTCATGAACTAAATAAACAATAAATCGCAGTTTTGAGGCCCTAAACGATCTCGGATGACCAAAAAACTTTCCTTGAGCGGTGCAAATTTCGGCCCATTCGGAGGCTGACTTTTCGAACCTACATTACTTTTTGTCCTACATCAATATGTGTGTGTGTGCAAAATTAAAATTTCAACAATAATCATAATGGAAGATATAAATTGGATGCTGACTACAATTGGGAGCTTCGATAGTTATGAAAATTTTTTGTGGGGCACTTTTAAAAATACATCTAATCTGGGAAAAGTAATCATAAATTGTTATTGTCACGCACCGGGCCTGCGGTCCGGTTAGCGCAGTGTAAAATGGTATCAAAACAGTTAGCCAGCCGGAAGTGTGGAGCTAAGTGCTATGAGGGGCTAAGTGCTATACCGCGGGGATGTGGTGGTAGCCACATCTAGAGTCTACATCGCATAGCAGTGATACTGGGATGTGCTAATTGTCATGCCGCGACGAGGAAGTTGCGTAATTAAGGTGGGGTGAATGTGAGATCTCCAAGTTATAGTCCTACATCGGTGGTTGAGTGAAGGTGTTGAGTGCTTATAACATGAGTCATGGAGTTTAAATGTAATATTGGCTAGTCGATTTTGGTAGTGTACTAAGTCAAACAACGTGTTACACACGTGGGTATCACAGGTTACACGCGCCAACAAGCCCGCAAGCCCGGGGCATGACATTTATAACAAAACATCTTTATGAAAACTTACTTTAGCAAGCAAAGTAACTGATTTCCTTAAACCTTGCCCTTTTCGCTGGTTTATAGAAAAGCTGAATGCTCGGCTTTAAATAGAACTACAGTGGACACACATTTTATTGCCCAAAAGTCATCATGGACAAATATGTAAAGAGAAAGTTCATAGATATAGATACATACATACACACAAAACGAGATCAATTGCAGATAGTTTTACCTTCAACTTTTACCGTTCATTGCATGTCAGGACTCCAAACAGATTCGTCTGCAATATGATAGAAACAATAGGCTTAAAAAGACTGCGCGATGTAAAATAACTAAACAATACAGAATACATGTTATGCTAATCTCCCTATGTATAGCGGGTATCTAACACAGAAAATTCAGCACCTATCAAAGAAATTTCGCAACAGTTAAGGCTGAATAATATCTAAAAAAAATTTAATGCTTCAGCTTCATTTTTGAGTCAGTAGAGGACTTGGGGAAGATCTTTGTTTCGTTGCGGCATTTCATCAGACACTTTGTGTGCAGCTTTAAAGTATCGCTTTTTCGTATCACTGAACAAATAATGCACCCCATTAGTAGCACAAAAGATCAATGTATCTTCTAATTGACCCAAAATATACAAATTTAATTCAATCCTTTAATCCTAGAAGATTGCTGGTAAAGACCTCTCTCTCTCTCCCCCTCCCTCTCTCTCTCTCTCATATACATAGTACGTGCCTATTGGGCTAACGGGTTTTGTCAACCTGATCTAATGATCCGATGGGGATGTAAAGTGGGTCGGGTTTTGTCTGACTTCTAACAGTGTCCAAGTTCTAAGGTTTTTTATATATTGATGTCTAAACCTTTAGTATTTTTAAATTAAGCCCACTTAATCACGGTACTTGCTATTTTAGTCGCGCGGGTGATGTGAGTTACTTCAAATTAGTTCCTACCGTTTTTATCATTTCTGTGGAAAATAGACCATTTGAAAAGGTAGTAAAGTGTCAATAGATGTAAAAGTGCTGCAAAAACACGTGGGAGTTTGTAAGAGCAAATTAAGTAGGGGAAACTATAATATAAGGTAACTTAATTGCAGATTAGCCTAACGAGTGAACTGTGTATCGTTCATTGAGAAAATTAAGAAAACTTTAGACAAGAGATTGGTTGACGTATGGGTTATACTTGGCAGCTAAATTAATTAAACATATGTAGAGTGGAGGGTAAGGGCCTGTTCGGTTATTTTCCGGAAAAAAAAAGAAAACTGAAATATGAAATCAAAACCATTTCAAAGCATTTCAAGAGGTTTCTCAGATTTGATTTGTTATGTTCGTTTGACATGGAAATCTTCGGTTTGAAATCACAGATCACATTTCACCTGTTCGGTACAGCAAATGAGAATAAAGAAATGTAGTGTCCTTTACCAACATAGGTTTCATTTCACCTGTTCGGTTTGCCCAAACCCAAATGAGGAAATCAGGCAATTTAGTGTGTGCGGTGAGGTTACCTCCAAACTTTTTCCTCCAACCAGCCAACGGTAAAATTTTTGCAACGGTCAAAATAACAACATACAGGGTAGAGGCAATGACCAGCAGCAGGGGTATTTTGCCAACGGGCAAAATTTGATCCCTACCACCCTGCACTTATATATAGCTGTGATGTGAGGCATAAGTAATAGTAACTCAACTATCCTCTACATAAATTCACTGAGATAAGAAGCATAAACAGGCAGGGAAAATACCGGAACCGAGAGGCCTTGGATTCAGCTGCGACATGGAAACAAGTCAAGTCTCCAAGGAGTTAGCTGAAGTTGTAACTTGCTACTATCAAATACCTACGCCAATCAAGCTTTGCAAAACAGGATTAAACAAGGGCAAATACTTTTGGGGCTGCGGCAACTATCCAAATAGGCGTTGCCAGTTTTTTAGGTGGGCAGAAGAGCATCATGATAAGAAGCAGTGCAAGGTAAATTGTGAAAGTGCCTCTGCGCAATCAGTACCCCAAAATAAAGATGTTGAAACAAAGCTCTTGCGAAGAGAGTTGAAGCTTGCAAACCAACAAGTTGATTACTTGAAGAAATGTATTGTTGTTTTAGGAATATTTAGTATTTTCCTTGTTGTCATAAACATTGTAATCTGCTCTATGAAAATGTAATGCAAGAAATCTCCAAATAAATGTATTGCATAAATCTCCATTGACGGGATGATGCATAAATCTCCCTTGAACTGTAATGCATAAATGCCTATTGAAAATGTAATGCATAATTACCTATTGAAAATGTAATGCCTAAAACCCCATTAGCAAATGGTTAAATCCAAAGAACTGAAAAATGACATTTCCAGCCAGCAACAAGAGCTTGTCATATTTGAATCAGACTTGATATCAATGAATGTTGTAATCTGCTCTATGAAAATGTAATGCAGTTATCTCCAAGTAAATGTTGTTGCATATCACTCCATTGACAATGCAACATGGAAACATCTCCATTGAAATGTAATGCGTAAATGTCCACTAAAAATGTAATGCATAAATCCCCATTTCTAAATCTCCCCATCCAGCATATAGGTACAAACATTTTCAGTCAACCAATAACTCCATGTGCAATGGAGATAGAAAAAACCCGATTAAATGTAATTTCCAGCAATGAACAACAACTGAGTATTTTGAATCAGACATGACAGCATTGAGTGGAAGTATAACACAGTTTTGAGTTTCAAAGTGGGACTAATCCAATGCATCATAGTCAACGCGGAATAAAGTCTGACAATTATGACAAGTTGTGCTTAGATATATGTCTACAATACATTGATCCCACACCAGCAAAGTGGTGCATCACAATGATGGCTGCATTCCTTCCAATTTACTCCTCATCAAAACAGGTAAATGTTGGGAATGCCTCGCCACTACATTGCATGTACTATATACTGGTGAGGAATATCAGCTACAAGACAATCATCACAGCACAATTAAATCATGCAATTGCAAACTGCCCACCCAACAGTGCTCAGGATATTCATGAACAAACAGTTATGCAAGAACCACGTCTCAAAAACAAGGTAAGGCTGCAGTCAATGTAAAATGCCTGCATATCACAATATCATGCCTCGCCTTTACCTTGTTAAGATACGTGTGATTGCATATATGATTTGCATGATCTCATCACAGCACAAGTGCAATTAAAATGCAAATTGAGAATACTTGCCATACCAGATTGTGTTTGCACTGAACGGGGCACTTTACCAAAACCCTCGTACACCTGAAACATAAGTGAAAAAAGCAACGTCACTTGAAACCAATAATGGAGAAAAATACAACGCCAGTGTCATCATAATCACCATACATACGGTTGCATCCTAAATCACAAACGTAGCTACAAAACAACGTAGCCTAATAATTAAAAGGCATACCCAGTTCGTACAAAATAACAACTTGATAGTTAGGCAAAAAGTTGCAAAATACATATTTCCCACCCATCTCCATAATGACCCTGTAAGTAACAATAAGTAAAGAAATGAGAGATGATTATTTGTAATAAATTGCACGACCGTATAAGCAGCAGATCAAATTAAGTACCTGAAATGACAAACTAGCTCCCCCCTCTTGCATTTTCCTGAAATTTTCTAACAAAGCTCTCTGACCGAAGTCAGTCTTACCTATAAAATGTCTGGCCTTGGATTCATCCTCAAAAATGTGATCATAAAAAAGCTCCAGGAATTCTATTGAGTATGTATCCTTGTGCTTGAAGAATCATAAAAAAGCTCCAGGAATTCTATTGAGTATGTATCCTTGTGCTTGAAGATGGCTTTGGACAATTTCTCTGTCCAGTGGAGATTAATAAGATTTGTGCTTGAAGATGGCTTTGGACAATTTCTCTGTCCAGTGGAGATTAATAAGATTTATAGAACTTGAAAATTGTTTAACTTCGTCAACCATTTGCTGCATTATCTTTTTCTCGTTCGGGCCCTTCCTCCCCCTCACTTTAGCCGAAGGGATTCTCCCCTGTTTGTCCTTATTGCTTGACCAGACATTGTTGTTTTCAGATTGAGTTTCTTCATCTACTAGGTTGACTAACCGAGGTGACTTTTGGGTCAAAGGAATGCTAACATCCTCGTCGTCATCACCTGCAAGGTTAATCGGATCCTGACCTCCAAATTTCTCCATTGCAGCCTTAGCGAAGTTACCTCTCGCTTGATCATCCCCACAAATGATAGCTAGGTTCTCATAGTGCTTCAGAGGCTTATTAATGTACTCTTTAAGCTTGCTCTTATTTTTATCCTGCTCGCATAAATACACATCATTTACCAAATGTGCATGAGAAAGAATCCAACAAAATTGGAACGGGTTTGAAAGCATATACCTCATTCCACGCATCAAAACTCTCTGGATCCAACATTATTGTTTGAGTATCTTCATCCCAACCTGCACCACTAATGTTACAAGCCGCCTGCATGTATTGAAACCAAGAACGGATTATTTTCATATGATTTACAACACTTTTCGTTTGAAAGGAAGTACCAAACTCCTTGTTCACTTCAGCAGCTGCCATAGCAAATGCATGTTGCTTAAAGTTTTTGTCTGGCTTAAGACCAGACTTGGCCAATTTTGCGAGGAAGGGTATAAGCACCATCCATCTACAATATTTAGCTATCAGTTAATATATGATATTAAAATTCAGAACACACATTTTAGTTACTCAATTCAGTGTGACATCAAACAAATGTAGGTTACTGTTATTTTTAGCTTCTTTCAACCAGTATTCAAGTAGATACAGTTTTAAACCAGCCTTCAAAAAGATTACATAGCATGATTTGTACTAATTTTTTGCCATGTACAAGCAGAAGTTGCTACTGCTTCATCCCTGTCACTTCTTTTGTTGTTACCTGAGTCAGAATTAGTTCCTGTAATACTAACTGGGGAAGGAATTTGGCCGGATGAATTCGAGGCTTGAAAATTTTGGGGCAAAGGTGGTGGACTATTGAGCATGTGCATGTAAGATGAAACGGGATGATGCATGGCGAAAAAGTTACCATCGTAGCTTGGCATATTTGGAAAACCTGACTGGAACATGGAATTGACACTGTGGGGAAAGGGTAGGCTTGCGGGGAAAGCATGAGATGATGGTGGGGCCATTGAATTTGTGAAGTGAGTGGAAGTCACATCTTTGCCTAAATTCATCTGTTCGGATCTTGATTTATCCCCCATTGCCTATATTTAAACCAATTCAGTCATGATAAAGTGAAAACTGGATCAGTTAACAACATAGGAATATTACTAAAGCAAATGAGTAAAAGATGACATTACAAGCATGTATTTTAAGAAAGCTCAGATATAATATATTACCCATTACATTTCAGAGCACAAATGGCATAGCAAGCAATTAATAAGTCTAATAATGCATACATAAAACTGCAACAGAAACTAAATCACGCTGAATAAAAGGACAACGTCGTACAGCAGTATTATAGACTCACAGATATCTAAGTAATACGTTACACAATCACCTATCTTAAAATAATTGTCATAATCTCAGGACTACCATAGCAAATCACAATGCAGACTCGTGAGTGTCACCATGCCGATATTTCATACAATAATCAATCCACATGTCCATTGCGATTTGATCTCTAAGAGACCTCCACTCATCCTTTGAGGTGTTTTGTTCCCTGACTGTTTGGGGTTGGGTGAAATCCACAACGTTGGTTTCTTCAGTAATTTCCTCCGCGGCGTCCTCCTCTTCAATGTCATTGGTCTCATTGAGTAATTCATCCTCTGGATCAACTGTTGCAATGTAGTTATGGAGAACCGTGCATGCCAGTACAATGTCTACTTGTGTGGGGAAAGGGTAGTGCGGTTTTGCGGTGAGAATCTTGAAACTATTCTTCAATATACCAAAGGTAGCTTCAATCTTTGACCTCAAAGATGAATGTCTCAGATTAAATAGCTCCCTCCTATTTTGAGGTGTTCTTCCCGCAAACTCCTTTAGATGATAACGCACACCACGATATGGGGATATGAAACCTGGCTGGGTTGTGTAGCCCGCATCACACAAGTAATATTTTCCTACATATTTAACAGGATTTTAATATGATTGTTATAATGTAATTTTTAAGGAGGAATATCAATTTGAGATAACCAGAAGTTTACCAGTGTACACCCGTAAGCCATTTGGTTGTGGTCTAGACAGAGCATCTTGAAGGATTCTATAGTCGTTAGCCGACCCCTCCCACCCAGCTAAAACGTAAGTGAAAAGTTTGTTTGGGGTACAAGCCGCGAGAACATTTTGTGTGACACCTTTGCGCCGTCTGAAACGCGAAACAAGTGCAGCTGGTAGCATAGCATCCACATACGTCCCATCTATCATACCTATGCAATCCTATGGAGTACAACTAACTATGTTAATGTATTTTAAGATTTCGGCGGATAATTATTTAGGAAAAATGGTTGAGTGGATGATATACCTTGAAAAATGGATAAAATGACGGGTTGCTTAGGATCTCTTGAGGTACTTCATTCGGGGCTTGTTTCATAAATCTGCCTTGTATGCGCGAAATAGCTTCCAATACTCTATTGAAGTACTTACTGACTGTATCTCCTGATCTTATGAATTGGGTTCTCATCATACGATTTTTGGATTTATGTCCCAAAATATTCAAAGATATGGCGAGTTGCTCCTCAACTGTTATATGCCTTGAGTCCTTTAAGAGTTGTTGTTTCCTCATTAACGTAGCTAGTTTCATAAATGCACCCTGTCGCATTCTAACAAAGTTTTGACAGCTATCACTATAACCTTCAAATATACGACTCATCAATTCAGACCTAGCCTTTTCCCTGCGCATTTTCTCAGCACTTGGTCCAGACCGTAGTGATCTACGGCGGCATTTAATTCTCGTCAAAAAGGTGAAAATTATTACCATGACTGAGAATGTAGCCCCAACACACATTCTTTTAACACCCTCTTCATCATCATAATCACCATCCATCTACAATATTTAGCTATCAGTTAATATATGTTATTAAAATTCAGAACACACTTTTTAGTTACTCAATTCAGTGTGACATCAAACAAATGTAGGTTACTGTTATTTTTAGCTTCTTTCAACCACTCCTCAAGTAGATACAGTTTTAAACCAGCCTTCAAAAAGATTACATAGCATGATTTGTACTAATTTTTTGCCAACAGTATGATGCTATGATATATGACTAGAATTCTGTGCTGGAACTGTAAGGAAAAGGGTGATAAAAAATTCAACTATGTAATTCTTTTTCATGTTATTAGAGAATTTAGTAAAAGATGAGGAGGAATGGAGGACAACGGATGGCTAAATCCTTCAACATGTGATGCCCCGTCCACTAACAGAGCACGCGAGACCTTTTCAATGTAGAAACATGTGATATTTCCATATGATCTCCAGCTTTAACCCCCACCTATTACCACATCTCATGTGTTCTCCTTAATTTCCCCCTAATACAAAGGTTAGAAGTGATTTCTCCTCAGTATTTTTCCTAATTGACTAACCAACCCACAAAAATCAAGACTAATTGTTAGGATATAAGACCAGTAAGCTGGCAGTTATAGTGCATCACAATATGCGTAGCAAGCTGATCACGTACAGGGATGAATTAAGAGGATACACTCATAGATCGTGGTGCATGTTACTCAATTTAATCAAAATATGCTCTTTGAGTGAGGAATACCTTAAGGACAAAGTAGAGCGAGCCTCAAGCAAGTCGTAGTTGATGGAATCCCCGTTCAAGCACTACAGCTGCCAGGCCGGGCTCAGATCCGACAACCAATTCGGAGGGGAAGAAGATAAGAAGCAGAAAGCACCCGATAAACCCACCGTCGCCGCTAGATCTGGCGACGATAACACAGTCAGCCCTAGAACGGTCGTTCAGGGCCTAAATTTCCAGTTTTCTCAGAGTGAGGAAGATGAAATTAGAGCCGGAGCATAGGAGCCGGCATGAGGCGAAGCAATGGGGAAGAAGAAAGAACCGAAGAGTCAGTGACCCTAACCCTAAGCAAATCCCAATCTTCTTTCCCCCCCGCCTAGGAAATCGCCCCTGCGAATATTAAATTGGGCGGAGAGGAGTTTTCTGGGTGTTTTCACGCCCAAAACCGCTGAAATCGGCTTTTCTTAAAGTCCGACGTGGAACCCTATTTCAGGCCCCTATTTCTCTAAATATGTTTGCCAAACGAACACGTGACTTGAAAATCTTGGGAAAACCGGATCCTATGTGGCAGCCTCTTTTGTTTTCAAATCACAGTTTTCCACATGTTTTTGGCCCAAACGAACAGGCCCTAATGTGAACTACATTATTAACTTTCTAGAAAACCAAATGAGTCCTAAATTACACGTGAGCACTCATTCTTTGACGTTTCCTACATCTAGTATTTAAACCTCCAAATGAAAAGTAGCTGCTGCGGATAATTAAGCGTGTTCTGTCGTGTGCCCTATAATAATAATTTGATATATTGAAAAACAAAAAGGGTTAAACAATATGGTCCACCGTGATACCATCCAGTGACCAATATACCCATAGAATATCAAATCATATATCTTCTTCAAAGAAATGATAGAGACGACTATCTTCTTCATTGACCCAGTCTCTAGAGTTTTGATGTTGTTTTTAAGAATTGAGAAATGTATTTCTATATTCAAACAACTGGAAAATAAAGATTAATATTGTATTTATTTGTCTCCGAATTAATAAAGGGTAGTGCAACTTAGCCAGATCGAGCATCTGCAGAAACATAAAACTATTAATCAACTAGCTAGGATCTTTGATGCCCTTTACAAAAATAGAGGTATCAATATTTTTAATCATAATAGTTTATTTTTTACTGGACATTTTTTGTGATTCAAATCATTGACAACATCACAACGCACGAGTTATTTGTATTGACGGCTACTCGCTTTCTTTATTTATTTATTTATTTATTTATTTTTGGTGATGGATGTTCGCAAGTCATTCGTCCTCTGAAGACAAAATAGTAAAGATTTCGGTTAGGTAATTCCTTCACCAGATGCATGCATCCTCGCAAATAGGATGTTGAAATATCTTTTCGGCTCCGCACATGAACAATTTAATGACATCCGAACCCGATTCACCTTAATCGGGCGTGTAAATAGGCTAAACTCAAAGGGACCTTTTTAGGTGGCATGCACCTAAGATTTCAGTACAACCGAAATAAATTCGCATTAACTATCTCATTTAATGAGCTCAATTGGACCCGACAATCTCATGTAGGGATAAGCTGAGGATCGGTTCGATAGTTTTGGTAACTTTTGTCAAATGCAACGCAAACCGTGCTAGATTTAGGACCGAACAAAATGTTTAGTTTAGTTCTGTTCCATTTGTTTGATTTTGATTTGGACCAATCCCGCCAGTCAAGATAATGGACTACTTTAAATTGAATTGAAGATCAAGTTTGTCCAATCAACTAGCTAATTAATAAACCGAGAATTCAATCTTTACCAGTCAAGGGAAAAGAGAGATTGAAATTTTTTTTTTTTTGGGCGAACGGATGGAAAAAAGCATGGATTTTTTTTAGAGTTATAAGCTGAGAACAATCTCGGTTCAAATTGAAGAATAAAAAAATCTAACATAATTAAAAATATTTTAAACAGAATCAAATAACAAAGTATATGATTTTTTTTAGTCCATTAATTTATTTAATATTTTGATATGAGTCCTCAGATCATTGAAACTGCTATTAGGTTCCCAAGTCTTATATATCATTACTGATATTCTTGATTGCAGAACTAATTCAAAATAACTTATAAGAACTAGAGGATCTAATGAGCAATTTTAATCATTTGAAGAACTGATTTTAGATAGCTTATAAGAATTGGAAGGTCTAATAGCAATTTCAAGAATTTAAGGGACTAATTTCAAAGCGTTAAATATTCAAGTGACCTAAGCATCTGTGGATATTAGAGGTGAATACGGTCCGAACACAGCTTGGATAATACTTATCATGTTTATATTCACTTGTCAATTATGCATATGGATACATATGTATGTCTTTATAAGGCAAATTCATATCTATATTCACTAAAATCACATACAGATATGGATATGCATGCGCGGATATATAAAATGAATTTATGTGTGGATAAAAAAAAGGCTATGAGAACAGCTAGTATTGAAGAAAAAAAATCGTAGTCCATATAGTACAAGAGAGTTCATTGATGTGTTCGTTACATCTGAAAAGCTAAGATCAGATAGCTTGATCATCAAAATTAACACTAGAATCCATTAATTTAAAGTTTTAAGACACTTAGACAACTAATATATATTCAAATATTTTACTGCATAACTATATCAATAAAAATTATATTCTCTCACTTATAAATTTTAGTGGTATATTCGTATTCTCACGAACACGGATGCCAATGTCTCACAGATATTTTTGTGGCCCCCCAGTGGCTGGTCGGAGCCTATCGTCACGGCTCCGCGGAGGCTCATTTCCCTGGCTCAGCTGTAAGGCAGAATACCATACACCCTTTCTTAAGATGACGTGGGCGCACGTTATTAAATTGTACCAGCTGAACTGTGTTTTGCGCTGTTACTTGGTTTTTCTCGTTTAGAAAAACTTTCGTTTTGGGTCGTTGGTGTTTTCCACCCCTATTTGTAGTTGACTTCTGACTGTTCAAACTTCCCCCAGTTCTCGGGATATCCCAAAAATTACAGTCATGCCATCGCCAGCCAACAAGAGAGATATCCACCATCAAAACTTCGATTTTGAAAGCTCTTTTAGCCTCCTCTTCTCCCTTTCTCTCTACTCAACCTCACGCTCTTCTCAATTTCTGATGTCTCCTCATCTCTACATCTCTCTTGTTCTCTTCAGCTTTCTCTTCTCTCATCATATTTCCTCTGCTTCAGACTCCATCACCGTCAAAGACTCTCTCTCTGGAGATACCAAGCTGATCTCTAATGGAGGAAAATTTGAGCTGGGTTTCTTCAGACCAGGTAAATCCCCTTACTACTACATAGGGATCTGGTACAGCCTCGACAGGGTCTCTCAGCTCACCCCAGTTTGGGTTGCGAACAGAGCAACCCCAATCTCTGATCACACCCAAACAGAGCTCAAAATGTCCACCAATGGCAATCTAGTCCTCTCAAACCAATCAAACCCCTTGATTTGGTCCACAAACATCACCACGACCTCTAAATCCACCATTGCTGTGCTTCTTGATAGTGGAAATCTTGTTTTGAGGGATGGGTCAAATCCCAATTTAACTTTGTGGCAGAGTATTGATCACCCAACTCACACGTGGCTCCCTGGAGGCAAACTGGGGCTAAATAAAGTCACTGGGGAGCTTCAGCGTTTGATTTCTTGGAAAACCCAAGATGATCCTTCTCCTGGGATCTTCTCTCTTGAGATTGACCCAAAGGGGTCCAGCCAATACTTCATCCTTTGGAACAATTCTTTCAGGTATTGGACTAGCGGGACATGGAATGGGAAAATTTTCAGCTTGGTTCCAGAGATGACTGCTAATTATATCTACGATTTCAGTTATGTCTCGAATGCAACTGAGAACTACTTCACTTACACTGTAAAAGCAGACTCCTCTCTCATTTCAAGGTTCATAATGGATTTATCGGGACAAATCAAGCAGTTGACTTGGGTTGAGAACAGCAATTCATGGATCCTGTTTTGGTCTCAGCCGAGAGCGCAATGCGAGGTTCATGCTTTATGTGGGCCTTTTGGTAGCTGCAATGAGAATGCGTTGCCCTATTGCAACTGCTTAAAGGGTTTCGACCAGAAATCGCCTTCAGATTGGGGTTTGAGTTATTGGGCTGGAGGTTGTGTGAGAAATACTCCATTGCAATGTGAAACGAATGGCTCTGGCCATGGTGGACAAGGGGAAAAAGATCGGTTTTATACCATGTCGAACATGAAGTTGCCCGACAATGCTCAGAGCCTACAAGCAGGGAGTCCTTCAGATTGCGAGTCGGAGTGCTTAAATAATTGTTCTTGTACTGCATATTCTTATAATAGTAGCGGTTGCTCAGTTTGGTACGGGAACTTGCTTAATCTCCAAGAGCAGTATGCTGGTCCCGAAGAAGGAACTGTTTCCCTTCGTCTCGCTGCTTCCGAGCTTCCAGACTCTAAAAGCAATAAGGGAGTTGTTATTGGGGTCGTAGTAGCCGGTGTTGCTTGTTTCTTGGGTTTGTTGATCGTTACGTGGTTGCTAATTTGGCATAAGAAAAGAAGAAGAGGGATGGTGGGTAAATCCACAGTGGTGGAGGGCGGTTTGGTTGCATTTAGATATGGTGATTTGCAGCGCGTGACGAAAAACTTCTCTGAGAAATTGGGGGGAGGAGGGTTTGGGTCGGTGTTCAAAGGTGTCTTACCCGATTCCACTGAAATTGCTGTGAAGAAACTCGAAGGGCTTCATCAAGGAGAGAAACAGTTCAGGAGCGAGGTGAGCACTATCGGGACAATTCAGCACGTTAATCTCGTTCGACTTCGTGGGTTTTGCTCTGAAGGAATCCATAAGCTACTGGTCTATGAGTACATGCCTAATGGCTCTTTAGACTCTCAGCTTTTCCAAAACGAGTCTAGCAAACTTTTAGACTGGAAGAGGAGGTATCTCATTGCCCTAGGGACTGCTCGAGGTCTAACTTATCTCCACGAGCAGTGCAGAGATTGCATCGTTCATTGTGACATCAAGCCAGAAAACATACTCGTGGATGGTTCTTTCGTCCCAAAAGTGGCGGATTTCGGTTTAGCGAAGCTCATTGGTCGTGACTTCAGTAGAGTTCTGACTACAATGAGAGGAACCAGAGGGTATCTTGCTCCTGAATGGATTTCGGGTGTGGCTATCACAGCAAAGGCTGATGTCTACAGCTATGGAATGATGTTGTTTGAGATTATTTCTGGGAAGAGGAATTCAGAGCATAATCAAGAAAACAAAGTTGGGTTTTTTCCTACTTTGGCAGCGAATAAACTTATGGAAGGAGATGTTATTAGCTTGTTGGATAGTAGATTGGGTGGTGATGCTAACTTGGAAGAGGTTGTCAGGGCTTGTAAGGTTGCTTGTTGGTGTATTCAGGATAATGAGGATTCGAGGCCATCAATGGGGCAAGTGGTTCAGATTCTAGAGGGTGTACTTGAAGTGAATATGCCTCCTATTCCAAGAGCACTTCAGATTCTTGCAGATAATCCAGGGGATATAGTCTATTTCTCAGAATTATCTTCAAGTCAGAGTTCAAAGACTCAAAGTAGTACATCTGCTACTTCTCAAACTAAAAGCACTTCTTCTGCGAGTTCTAAAGATTAAAGAGCTTGGAGGGAATGGAGCCGAGTTCTTATTGGTAAGCCTACCATACGTGCCATTTCTTATATATGAATGCGAATGTGGTAATATTTGAATTAGCAGTCTCTTCTAGATGTTGTGTAATCTTTACTTAGTCCTCTTGCGGTATTATGTACTTACGTAAAAGCTTTTAATATCATGAAATGGCAATGGTGCTTTAATATCTCTATATTGGCCTTTGGAGATATGCACTTATGTAAAAAAGCTTGTGAGCTATAGAAGTTTGAGCTTTCCTTTGCATAGCATACATATTGAAATTTCTCTTTCTGTAGTTCTTAATGCTTTAGTGTGAACACGATGTTAATCATGTTTCACTGATGTTTGCTTCATACTTAAATTACATACCTTGTTTGAGGACAAAGAAGTGATACGAGTTGCCGTGCGAGCACCCTTTGGTCGCGGAATTACCAAAAGGTGGGTTGAGAAGAGGACGATCAAAACACAAAAACAATTCAGTTTGGCGAAGGAAAATACCTTCTCTAGATTATGAAGAACAAAAGATTACAATCTCTCCCTCACAATCTCACTCTAGAATTGAAGAACAAGCTCTCCAAATCTCAATCTAGAATCTAATCTCTCTTGATTAAACTCTCTGACCTAAAAGATGTTTAGAAACCCTAAAACAATCCCTTATATAGGTGTACAAACGTGGATGGCAGTTTGGTAAATAAACAGACCCAAACCCAACAGGAAAACGTGTAAACAGAAACCCAAACGAATCAGGATTCCGTCGATGAGTCGACTGGTCGAATGATGAGTCGACTGGTCAGAGCCGAACTGCGAACTAGGCTTGGTTTCGTGAGTCGACTCATGACAGGCATGAGTCGACTCAACCTGATGAGTCGACTCATGTATATGTATGAGTCGACTCACAGGCTGAAATCTGGAGTCTTCGACTCTTCGATTATCTGCCTCGTTCTTCGACTCTTTTTGCATCTCTTCCGCTTTCTGCAGAAGGACTCGGGCATGCGCAAGCAATGCATGACGTTTCTTGATTCGCTCTTCGAGGGTTGAGCGAGTCCTCTTGACACGAACCCATTCGTTCGTTTCTGTCTTGGAGGAGGAGTGGGTCGTTCGCCGTTGTTGCACCTGGCGCTGTCTGGACTTTAGATCTTCATTGTAGCGGATCCCGTCCACGGATTCTGCGGCTTTAGCCAGTTGTCGCTCAAGGCGTTGACGCCGTCTTTGGCGCGCCCTCTTTGACAAGGTTGGGACACCTTCAGGAGTTGACTTTGCGGCGGAAGGGAGATCTGGATCTGCAACTTCGACCACGTTAGACGCCATTGGAGCATCGCGGTGAGTAAGTATAACGGCGGTGAGTAAGTATAACGGCGGCGAGGGGATCTTGGATCTTCGATCCTGAGGGCCTGCGAGCACTCTTGGAAGATGAAATCTTCCTGCGCCTATTTGGAGAGGCGGATCTGGAGGAGGAGGAAGAGAGGTACTCTTCAAACTTCTGTTGATCGAACTCGTATTCGATCTCTTCGTTCACCCGGATCTTGAATGCCGGTTGCGTCACGACAGCCTCGGCAGCGAGGCCGTTGGCTCCCACTGTGGTCGCCAGTTTATTTTCGTCGAAAGTTGCCTTCATCATTGATTTCATTAAAACTTCAAACGTTACAAATGAATTCAAGCAACAAAGAAATAAAAAAATTATAACTTTCTTGAAAATAAACACAAGATTCGTTCGTCGTCTCTTGCTTGCGTGGGTCTTTAGTCTGTGACGGGGATGTTGATATCCGTGGACTACCTGGTAATCAGATCTGATCCAGAGCTTCGTCGATCCGCGAGGAGATCTAGAAACTTGATGCGCCTATCTCGATAAAAGCGAGATATTTGCTCTTCTTAGTATTACCACAACGGGATAAGACTAAGGATCGGGTACGGGTGATGTAGATCTGACGAAGAAACTCTCTTGCGTTGAAGTGCTCGATCACTCTTCACTCCGGCAGGGCTTCGCCAATTCTCCAAAATTCCAGATCTGAAAAAGTGAGGCCTAAGGCTTGTATTTATAGGCATGAGGGGTTGCGGAGCGGTTAAAACCACTTAAAGGGCCCAAATCCGCGCTGAGACACCCTAGGGGTGTCTTGGCTTGGCCGAGACACCCTTGGGGTGTCTCGGCTAAACCGAGACACCGTAGGTGCCTCAGTTCAGCCTTGAGACGTTTTCAATGCCCGTTTGACTGTTTTCACTGTAACTTCTTTGTCTGAACTCGGATTTGAGTGATTCCAAATGTGTTGGAAAGCTGACAAGGAGTTCTATCAGCTCCAATGGTTGGATTATCTGTAGAATGAATGAGACACGAAGGGCATTATTCCCTTTGTAAACATTGCGGGGCTCCTGATTAGCCCGCACCTTCGTTATTCCGGAATTCTGTCAGCTCACGTAGTTCGTCGGTTCACTTCAAGCGTTCACCGACATCAGTCGAACTCCTGTGAACCAGATAGTGATGTTCATTGTCGTTCCTTAACACTGAGCTGTTCGTGGAGACCTATAGGCAATTTTCAATGCCTACAGTATGTGAAATTTATAGTATGATTATGAATTTCAAGAATGTATATGGTTAGCTTGTTCAAATTTATTACTTTTGTGGATCGATTTTTTTGTTTATATATGTTATTTTTCGTGTGTATTGCTTGATTCATGGTTGAATTTTATGAATATTATTGTAATTTGGTATATATGCTGCAAATTTCATATTTATGGTCGGATTTTCATATATATTGTTGTGAATGAGACGGAAATTTCATGTATATTGTTGTGAATGAGGCAAAAAAATTTATATATATTGTTATGAATTTTCAAGAATGTATATAAGAAACATGCACATATTCTGTGTATGTTTAGGGAAAGCTGTAACTCCAAGAGATTTCAAATCCCGTGAAGTTGCAGGCCAACTTGCCAGAGAGCAAAGGCTCTCTGGAGTTTGGCCTACAGCTCCCTTGAAGTTTAAGCTTCAAGGGATTTCAAGTCCCATGAAGCTTTGGCTTCCCATAATCAATACGCTAATAAGGGCTAAAACTTCACGGGATTCAAGGAATTTTAAATCCCGTGAATTTTTTGATGTTTTTCGTCATTTTAACCCAGTTTTAGCCAAGTGACTGAAACTGGATCAAAATGACAATTAATTTTAAAATGAACCGTTTTTTAAAAATAAGTTTCTAAAGGGATTTATTTTGAAAATTTATCCTAGTCTAAGTTTAACTCTAACTTTATTACTACAAATAAACTAAAAATTGATTATTTCTAAAATCCTGCCAAAAACGGGTGTTGCTGATAGGATTATGGGATTTTGCCAAACTAATTGACTTCGTCTTGTCGAGATAGGCGATTTTCATGAATAATATCTTGGAATCCGCCTTCCGGATTGGAAGATATGATCGTTTCTCTGTGGCCAGTCAATAATTCATCCGTATCCGCATTTGACTCATGAAAATCTCACTTCTTCATGAATTTGATCATTATGCATCCAACATCACCTTCCTACAGAATTCATCAACCAGACCAATTCCAAATTAATATCTCTAGCTCCATTTCCCAGTAAATCCCCACCAGGACCACACCAGGATTCATTCAAAGGGAAAATTCAAAGTCATACTCGCATAGTAAGAAATTAGAAAACAACACTTAGGTATTGACTATGAAAGTCATCCGACACGCCTCTGCATCCTCCAATTATTCTTGCAGTCGTCTACCTTCTCAGCTTTGTTTGTGTTTTAGCCATGGCTTCTCCTAATCTTCCATCAAAGATTTCTCTTGCTATCCCACCCTCTCTGTTGTTACTTACTCTATTCTCTGTGCATCTCTCCTGCGCATCAAACTTCATCTCTGTCAATCAATCGCTATCTGGACCAGATAGGCTAGTCTCTGAAGGTGACAAGTTTGTGCTAGGCTTCTTCCAAGCAGGTAACTCGACTCGTTACTACATAGGCATCTTGTACAGTGAAACCATCTTTTCTCAGACTACTGTTGTTTGGATAGCCAACAGAGATATCCCAATAAGTAACCCCCTTGATGCCGAGCTCAAAATCTCTGCTGATGGCAATCTAGCCCTCTCCTTGTCCAGTCAGCAAATATGGTCTACTAATACGACTATAACATCGAATTCTACTTTAGCCGTCCTCCTTGATACCGGAAACCTTGTTCTAAGAGATGGGTCAAACCCCAACGTTACCTTGTGGCAGAGCATTGACCACCCAACTAACACATGGCTTCCTGGGGGGAAGCTTGGCTTGAACAAAGTCACTGGGGAGCTTCAGCGTTTAGTGTCATGGAAAACCGAAGACGATCCTGCTCCTGGGGCCTTCTCTCTTGAGATTGACCCAAATGGGTCCAGCCAATACTTCTTAGTTTGGAACAATTCTTTCACGTATTGGACTAGTGGGACTTGGAATGGGAAAACTTTCAGCTTGGTTCCAGAGATGACTGCTAATTATATCTACGATTTCAGTTACGTCTCGAATGCAACTGAGAACTACTTCACTTACAATGTAAAAGCGGACTCCTCTCTCATTTCAAGGTTCATAATGGATTTATCGGGACAAATCAAGCAGTTGACTTGGGTTGAGAACAGCAATTCATGGATCCTGTTTTGGTCTCAACCGAGAGCGCAATGCGAGGTTCATGCTTTATGTGGGCCTTTTGGTAGCTGCAATGAGAATGCGTTGCCCTATTGCAACTGCTTAAAGGGCTTCAGAGCGAAATCTCCATCAGACTGGGGTTTGAGTGATTGGACTGGAGGTTGTGTAAGGAATACCCCGTTGCAATGTGAGAAAGATCGCTTTTATACCATGTCGAACATGAGATTGCCTGATAATGCTCAGAGTATACAAGCAGGGAGTGCTTCAGATTGCGAGTCAGGGTGCTTGAAGAATTGTTCGTGTACTGCATATTCTTATGGAAGTGGTGGTTGCTCAATTTGGTACGGAAACTTGCTTAATCTCCAAGATCAGTATACTGGTCCCAAAGGAGGAACTGTTTCCCTTCGTCTCGCTGCTTCGGAGCTTCACGATTCTAAAACTGAAGGACCTTCTCTTCTTCGGAGAAAGAAAATCAAGGAGGGAGTTGTTATTGCGCCAGTTGTTATGGGTGCTTTAACCTTACTGATAATCACATTGTTACTAACTCGAAAGAGAATGAGAAGAAGAGCAGTGACTGGTAAATCAAAAGTAGCGGAGAATGGTTTAGTTGCATTTAAATTTAGTGAATTGCAGCGTGTGACAAAAAACTTCTCCGAAAAATTGGGTGGAGGAAGTTTTGGTTCTGTTTTCAAAGGTATACTCTCTGACTCCACGACTATAGCTGTTAAGAAGCTCGAAGGGTTTAAGCAGGGAGAGAAACAATTCTGGTCGGAGGTGAGAACAATCGGGACAACTCAGCATGTTAACCTTGTTAGGCTTCATGGCTTTTGTTGTGAAAGGAAGCAGCACTTATTAGTCTATGAGTACATGCCAAATGGTTCTTTAGATACTAAGTTGTTTCGTAATGAATCAAACCAAGTCTTAGACTGGAATACTAGGTATCAGATTGCTCTTGGAACTGCTCAAGGTCTGACCTATCTCCATGAGCACTGTAGAGATTGCATCATCCATTGTGACATCAAGCCTGAAAACATACTGTTGGATGCTTCTTTCGTTCCAAAAATTGCTGATTTTGGCCTGGCTAAGCTCTTGGGTCGGGACTTGAGCCGAATCCTTACTACTATGAGAGGAACCATAGGGTATCTTGCACCTGAATGGATATCCGGTATGTCTATCACGGCAAAGGCTGATGTGTACAGCTACGGAATGATGCTGTTTGAGATTATTTCTGGAAAGAGGAATTTAAATCTGACTGAAGAAGGAGCTGGGTTTTTTCCTACTTTGGCAGCTAGAAGACTCATTGAAGGGGATGTAGTTGGATTATTGGATCCCAAAATGGAGGGTGATGCTGACTTGGAGGAGGTCGTTAGAGTTTGCAAGGTTGCTTGTTGGTGCATTCAGGATCATGTGAATTCTAGGCCTTCCATGAGACAGGTTGTTCAGATTTTAGAAGGGATTCTAGAAGTTGAAATGCCTCCTGTTCCGAGAATCCTACAAATACTTGCAGATCATTCCGGAAGCATAGATATCTTCTCTGAATTGTCTTCAAACCTTGGCCCCCTAATGGATGGAACTTCCTCAAAATCTGAAACTGAAGCGCATCTGTGATCGAGGATTGTTGGAGGTTTGTGAATGTAAGTGTCCTATCTGTATGAGCTTACTATATTATATTCAAATATTTTTTAAAATAACAGCTTTTAATACTTTGGTTTGACTAAGGTTGGGTAGCAATTGATGTATCATTACCCAAGTGCGAAGCTTGCATGTAAGCTTCTGCTGATACGTTATTTGTATAATTGGATTTTCCCCAAAGTTCTAAAACTCATAGTTTAGAATATTGGTGAACCAGAGTTCACTAAGAATGAATTTCTTATCCCGTCAGTAGTTCATATGTATTAATGATCGATAACATGTTGTTTCTTATGATTTACTAATTGGCAACTAAATTGCAAATGACATGATGTACACGCGTCTCGTAAATAATGGATAGCATCTTATCTATGTCGTTAAGACTATTGAAGCATCTCCTGTGTAATATAAAGCTGCAGGAAGAACCTGGAAACAAAGCTTTATTCTTGGAATCTTTCTCATACCTTAGTCCATATATTCACGTAGTTCTACTACTTTTGAAACTGTTTTACGAAGTGTAAAGATTGAAAACAGAGGAATATGTTCAAATATCTGCATTCGAATAGGACCAGGGGCGGATCCAGGATTTTAGTTCTGGGGGGGCCGCGTACAAAAGATAGATGAAAAATTTTCTTAATGTAATTTTATTCACAAGAGATATACCACAACCCAAATAAAATGATTAGAATAGCCAACATCAATTTCTCCAAAATATTTCAAAAGAGGAAGACAAAAATTATATAGAAAATAGTCAAATAAGCATCATCTATTTTTTTTATAACTAAAATTTCTCTAACTAAAAGGAATTCGACGTTTCTTAAAATTTTCAAAGTCTTCAATGATAGCATCAATGCTCAGACTTTTAGCAATTTCTCTTTCAATAAACACCATTAAGCATCATCCTCCATTTTGCTTCGAAGCCTAGTCTTGACGATATTCATAGCTGAGAATGATCGTTCTGCAGTAGCAGTAGAAACTGGAAGAGTAAGCACAAGTACGATCACTCTAAAAATGAGGTCGTATGTAGTAGATTTATTAGTCTTTACCAACCATTGACACAACTCAGAAATGGTTGAAAGAGTTTTGAAGTCTGGCCCTTTGACTACATTATGCTCATAATGTTTCAGTTGCATCTTCAAACTCTCTTTTCCTTCACTTGTAAAATCTTGTGCATAAAACTTGCCAACCAATTTGCATATATCTTGTATTCTCAAAGCCGCAGATACATTTTGAGGATTTAAGGCAGAACTAAGCATGAGCAATTCTGTCGCATCTTCACTAAAACACGCATTAATTTCTTGCATTTGTGAATTGATCGCATCATAAAAAAAGTCTACTCGATAATGATGTCCAATGGTAATGTCTTGATGACCATAAGCTCGACGTCGTCTATCAACATACTGAGCACTAAAATCAGGAATATTAATGTTACGAGCCACACAAAAAGACTTCACTTTTTCAAGCAAATTATCCCACTTGTCATCCATTAACTCTTGTAGTAATCTTTTTGTAGATGACACAAGCTCCATTGCATTCGAAATGTCTTGAGACTTCCTTTGTAAAGTTTGGCAAAGAAAATCTGTGATCCCCATAATCTCACTCATTAGATGTAAGATAAATACAAAATCGAACAAAATCATTTCATCATAAATAGATGTTGCATCGGCTCGTTGGAAAGGAAGCTCATCCTCCATAACTTTGAGCAACACCACACATGCTGCACTGAACATCCTGATCAAACTTGATAATGATCTGAAATGAGAACTCCAACGCGTATCAGCAGCTTGTTGTAAAGTGCCAATCTGATTAAGTCCAGGCCCTGTCTCGAGTTCATTAATAGAAATCAAATGGGCAATGCCATCCGCGTGAGCTTTCTTCAATTCATCATTACGCTTGCAAGAAGCACCAACCATATTAACTATAGAAATTAATTTATCAAAAAACATATGAATGAGAGTCAGATTTTTTGCTACCGCAACAAGAGCCAACTGTAGTCGATGAGCAAAGCAATGAACATAGTAAGCAGTCTTATAATCTTTCATAATCTAAGCTTGCAATCCATTGAATTCACCCCTCATATTATTGGCCCCATCGTAACCTTGACCTCTAATATTTTGAACATCCAAATTGTAATGAGCCAAAGCAGAGTATATGGCGTTCTTTAAAGTCAAAGCTGCAGTATCGAAAACATGAACAAGCCAAAAAAAAACATTCTTGAATGAATCCATTAGTGTCCACAAACCGCAACACAATAGACATTTGCTCTTTTTTTGACTCATCACGGGCTTCATCAACAATAATGCAATACTTGGCAACTCCAATTTCTTCACGAATTGCATTTTTCAATCTCACTGAAAACACATGAAGTATTTGTTTTTGAATATCATGACTTGTATATTTGGCATTTTTGGGAGCTTTCGCAATTGCCTTTGAAAGTTCGTCATTCTCCATGGCCAGCACATCCAAAAATTCAAGAAAATTATCACGATTGGACGAACTAGATTTCTCATCGTGGCCTCTAAACGGAATCTCTTGGAATGCAAGCAATCGCACCACAAGTATGTGAGCTCTTAACTGAAGACGATTTGTTGCAACTTGTTCAGCATTGAAGTTGTCGAATCGCCTTGATATATATTGTGGTTGGTTCATCAAATCCTCACATGCCTTTTCAGCATTACGATGGAGTGAAGATACATTATCTTTTCCTATTTCAATAAAACCCCATTTATTAATCCCTTAAGAATAACCCCCTTTATTAATAAACCCCCTTAAGAATAACCATTCACTAAATACATCTCCATAAATTTCCAATTTCAATGAAACCCCCTTTATTAATCTTGTTGCTGCTCATGGTAATGTATTTACTATTAATATATACATAAAACCCCTCAAATAATTAATATTCACAAACTAATTTTTTTTTCCCAAATTAGGAATAGGGCACCCTAATTTTTTCCTCCAAATTTTGGGGGGGCCGTGGCCCCCCCTGGACTGTATGTAGATCCTCCCCTGAATAGGACGACTCTAGTTTATTAACCAAGTTTGAACTGCGCTCATTAACTGCAGAAAGATGGATCTATGGGCAGGTAAGCCAATGATCATATTGTTGACTCTCTCGTGGGAAGAGGTTCTTCAACCTATTTGTTAATTTATGGGGACTCTTATAGGAAAATCCTCCTCAACAATAAATCAAATTTACAAGAAGAGTGGAACCTTGTTGGAAGAAAGAAAGAAAGGACAAATTTTCAAAACCAACCCTTTTACACATTTAATTGCAAAAACCGACCCCTTTTCAAAATAATTGCAAAAACCGACCTGTTTTCAGCCCAACGCTGAAAACAGGTCGGTTTTTATAAAAAAATCTCCGAAACATCACGGGAGTTCAACTCCCGTGAAGTTTATGGAGAAATTAAACTTCACGGGAGTTCAACTCCCGTGAAGCGTAATTTCTGCTTAAAACTCCATGGGAGTTGAACTCCCGTGGAGTTACAGTCAGCAATTCCAGAGAATCGAGTCTCTGGCAAATTGTGACTGCAACTTCACGGGATTTCAACTCCCGTGAAGTTGCAGTCCACAATTTGCCAGAGATCGAGTCTCTGGAAATTTGGCACTGCAACTTCACGGGATTTCAACTCCCGTGAAGTTGCAGGTCACCCAGCATGCACAGCTGCTGTGCAGGTTTTGTATATTTACCTGTAACTCATATATATGTCAATTTATTTGCAAACAACAATATATACATGATTCAACAATGAATTATAACTCATATATATGCCAATTTATTTGCAAACAACAATATATACATGATTCAACCATGAATTAAACACACACGAATATGTATATGAACAACAATTTATCTTCAAAAGTTTAGTATTTGAAAATTCAGGATAGTTACAAAATTTATCAAAATAAGTTCATATACAACCTAATATAGCTCCCCTCCTTCCTCTCCCTCTCTTCCCCCTCCCCCTCGCTCTTCCCCGCCCCCTGGGTTCCTGCTGATGAGCCTCAACTATCTGAGTATGCGGCGGCTGTGTAATGAAGCTGCGAAGTGGCGCGGGTCCATGCGGCATGCGAAAGTGCGCGGGCGTCATCCATGGCGTCCGATGCGTCAAGCTGCGGTCATGCAAGCTGCGGGCGTGCCATCCGGCATGGCGAAGTGCGCGGCTCAATGCGGCATGCGAAGTGCCGCGGTCATCATCAACGCGGCCGTCGACTGGTCGAGCGTATGCCAGCCAAATGAAAGGCGAGACAGCTGTCCTCCCTAGGCCTGCGATCGTCGACGTGAGTCCTATTGAACACCTGCGTATGTGGCTCCTTCTTGATCCTGCTAGGAGACCGTAACGCCAGCCTGATCCTGAAGTCTCAGTCACGTGCGCATGCAATATCAGCATGCAATGCTATCTAATAACACTGCGACCTGCGTGGTAAACAATTTATTAAGTATCAACTCAATAAAAAATATTATAATTTAGCTTAGAAACTTACGTAATCTCTCTCGTTCATCCCACTAGGGATGTAACTATCTGTGTCGGTGGGCATGGCATGTGTCCAGCTAAAAGGCTGTGGGTCATGCGTGATCCATTACGTGTATACCCCTAATCCAACGAATATACGTGGTATATGTCAACAGCTGTGGGCCTCGGTATCCTGTATGCAATCCCACCTCTGAAACCCACCTGTCTATGTAGGCCGCACGGACTATATGGCCCCAGTCAGTCCGGTGCGATGTAGGGCGCCGCCGACGATTGATCTGCTCGACAGGATCTGGAATATGCTGAGAGAGTGTAAACTGCGCGTAGCACACGGTCCCGGTACATGCATCTCTACGATCTCCGCAAACAGATCAATGGAACTCTGGCTCTCCACAATCCGGGACGATCTCGGCAGATAGGTGCAAGAGAATGTATATCGAGCTCCGGCCGGTGTATAAGGGTCTCCACTTGAACTGAAATAAAATAAAACATTTATCAGTATAATACAGAAAAACTATAATATTCATAGCTTCTGAGTTTTATATTTACATGTTCGTGCTGGAGGCCATCAAGCTCATTTCGGTAAGACTGACGGTGACGCGTCGCTGATTTGTACTGAGCGTATCGTACGTTATACCTATATGGCAGAATGGCGAATATATAAGTACAAATATCCAGGTTAGGAATAAATATGTGTGTGTAGCAATTATACCTTGTATGCCAATGGATACTGCCCCTCTAAGTCACGTGCATAAGTAAAGTGGGTTGTCCAATATGAATGCGCTGCCCATGACCAAATCTGTATCAACGTACAGCATCCTGAATTCTTTATTCTGCATCCATAGACAGAGATACTCTACTCATTCTCGATACAAATATGGGCCAACACCGCACTGCCCCACGATAGTGCGCCGCATACACCAAAATCCTCCAGCAAGTGGCAGCCATCGTGCATGTACGAGAGTCTTGCTCGCATCAGGAATAGTACGCACCCTATCATGTGCAACTATGTATGCACGAGCATAGAAACTGGAGCGTCTCCTCAGAGGCATCCTCTGGTATGTCGGCCCTGAATGTCTGACGAAGCCACGATAGCTTATCGCACCACTCCTCAAGTCGGGAACCTGTCCAAGTAGCGGGGCACATACCTCCGGCCAACTATGATCGTCGTGGCCGTAACTACCGGTCCAGCCAATCGGAGCGCCCAAGTATGACGGCCACGTCCTGTAAAGTGATCGTGCACTCCCCTATATGCATGTGAAAGGTGTTGGTCTCTGGCCTCCACCTCTCATCAAAGGCAGCGATAAGCGGCCAATCAAGCCCTGAATATAACGAATCGTCGAACACGGTCGAAAACCGGCCTGAGCGATCAAGCTAGTACCCTCTCATCCTCTATGACCCATGCCGAATGACTATGGAATGCTCGATCATCGCTGAAATCTGGTAGCGGGCTGCAGCATAAAACGAGAATCAGTTTTAAGTATATTTTCATTAAAAAATTACATTAATGCGAAAAAAATATATATCTAATTTATTCGTATTACCTCTCCCGAACCAATATGTGTCTGAACAATGACTAACCTGAAGGTACAAACGTCGGGATTCTCGGCGGTCCCGGATCCATAATGAATAGACCTGTGATTAAAATATGAGCAATATATACAGAGTGCAATAAACTGCTTCAAGATAACAACTACGAATGACATACACGAATGCATAGTATAAAACGCTACATTAATACAAATGCATGGGTGAAATGAACGGAGTTTGGCATACAGAACATATTACAAATAACGAGTATCATACGCTTCAAAGATAACAACTACGAATGACATACACGAATGACATAGTATAAACGCTAGCATAATACAAATGCATGGGTGAAATGAACCGGAGTTGCATACAGAACATATTACAAATAACGAGTATCATACGCTTCAAAGATAACAACTACGAATGACATAATGCAAAACGCTACATAATACAAACTCAACGCCTAATACTAACTGGACACCTATTTTTGTGTGACCCGGTTGATCACATCTACTGGCACTTATTTCTCGCTCCTAGCTCTTTCACGTCCGTCATCCATACTATTTCTAATACGCACGGAACGAGGGCGCCCGCCGATCTTTTTATACAATGGAGGTAATATCCGTGGCCCATCTTGTGTCCAATGTCGACTATCGTATGGTGGACGGAAAACACTCTTGTAGGTTTGTTGATAGTTTGTATGCAGAATAACCAAGCGTCGCAAATTCATAATGTGAAATGCGAGCACCACCCTGTAGGTCGGAGCAAGCTGCTACAACATGTGAAGCAAGGAATCAATTGTAGTTGCGGTACATTGCAAGTGCATGAGCAAAAAACCAAGGCTAATTCTCTGTATGTTCAACATCAACCACTGCGAATGCTAAAGGAAACAACCCGCCATCCGCGTCAACTCCGGTTGCAACAAGCAAAACGCCTTTGTATTTACCATATAAGTGAAGTTCCATCAATGCTAAGAAGAGGACGGCAATATCGAAACCCCTCAATACATGGCCCAAATGCGCCAAAATACACCGGTGAACGCCGGTCTCCGCCATCAACGGGGTCCGAAGATACTTCGTAGACAGTCCCGGGATTTTCTCTTTTGAGTGCTTCAAGATAATGAGGTAAAATCTCATACGAATTATCTCAATGCCCCGAATATTTTTATCATCGCCTTCCTCCCTAGCATTCCAACACTTGCTGATATGATACATCCAAGTTGGTGGCTTTATGCACTAAAAGACGGATATCTTTTCGCCATTAGATCAAGATCCTCCCGTCAGATGCGGTAAAATCAATCGATATATAAAAGAAGAGGACGCATTTTGTTATTCATTGTCCAATTGAGATTGCTACAAGTGTGGAGTCCATTGTAGAGCGCTGTGATTTTGAATTGCCCACCTACTCTTGAACCCGAGCGTGAATTAAGTCCACGGACACCTCGCATTGCGTCGTTGTGTCCACTATTATGTTCGACATCGTCATCTTTGGCGATAGAAACAAACCACATTAATAGCTTGTAGTATTATTTTTGGTAGGCCTGAACTTCACATTTTTTGCATGGAATACGTGCGAATAGCATGGATCAATTTCTCCTTGACTCTCGTAAAGAGATCTCCCTTGATGAATGAGAAGTCCTCGGCCTGTGTATCAACACCGGCTATTAGTGGCCAATAGGAACACTTTCCATCGCGGAGTTATCAATCCATTCATCTCGCTTGAAGTTCATCGGGCGGCGGATCCTCTAAGGCCGACATACTCATTATTAACATAAGCCCCGTCGATGTGTTGGTTTTTCCGGTCATCCAGCGATCTATCACGGTCATGCTATTAATTTGTAATCCCTCCTCTTCATCATCATTCTCGATTCAACACTTGCATTGTTCCTGAATTTCCCGTGTTAGTATCGGAAAGCATTCGAAGTGCCCACGAACGAAGGACCGCTCATAGTATTGTGATTGTGTCCAACATTCATATTGTTGAGGAGATAAAAAGCTACAGAATCAACTTCAGGATCCTCCAACATGCGGGAATACATTTCCTTCGTAGTTCAACGATTTGCCAAATCTCTCTGATGTTTTTCAATGACAATTCGACGCGAACGCTTCTCGTCGTGTAAGACATGAATGAGACCATATCGTAGTCGAAGATATTTGAATGCCACTTGTTCTGTTCCCCCACAACAGGATAATTGCAAAACCACACTGAGGTGATACTCACGTGAGTTAGTTAATGTAAGTTTGTGTAATTCATTAACCAACTCATCGAAAGTACACGATTTTGTTATGAACAACGGTCTCGTCATTCCTCCTTCATAAACAGGCATATTATTCTCGAGGTAATTAATCTTCCCATCATAAGAACAGAGAATTACAATTCGATCGTTCATCGTTACCTCTGAAGAGTGAAAAATTCAATATCAATATTACACGAAAGCCAAATAAATATTGATTGTTACTAATTTTTACATTTAGGTAGTAAGTCTAATTTCCACATTAATTGATAATTCACAAAATTCGTAAATAATTCAAAATTAAATTCTAAAATCTAATTTAAATCATACATATGGTAAAATCTAAAATCTATTTTTTCTTACACAAAATCTAAATAATTCACATTAAATTCTAAACTCTAAATACAATAATTTTCGAAATTATTGATAATTTCCCCTCTAATTTCACAAAAATTATTGATAAATTACACACTAATTTCTTCACAAATTTCACAAAATTATTGATAATTTCACCATTGATAATTTTCCCCTCTATTTTTCACATTTATTGATAATTTTCCTCTAATTTTCACATTTATTGATAATTTCCCATCTACTTTTCACATTTCTTCATAAAATTGCATAAACCAATTCATAATTAAATTTTAAAAAATCTAGATTCTTACATGTAATCACAATCAAATAGTGGAGTATACAACAATTAGAGAGTATAGCTTTTTTTTTGAAATAATTTACCTGTTTTTTGGAAAAAAATAACTGCTGAGATCTGAAGGGAGGCGGCGGTCGGAGGCGGCGGCGCCGGCGGCGGTCGGAAGCTGGGGCACCGGCGGGGGTCGGAGCCTGGAGCGGCGGCGGTCGGAGGCTGGGGTGGCGACTGAGAAGGCGGCGTTTGGGAGAGAGGCGGAAATATTAGGGTTTGTGTGGTCTGGGGTCGGGTCACGCGCTTAAATAGGGTCACCAAACTCCACGGGATTTCAAGTCCCGTGGAGTTGCAGTGCCAAATTCCAGAGACTCGATCTCTGGCAAATTCACGCGCTTAAATAGGTGGCAGCAAACTCCACGGGAGTTCAACTCCCGTGGAGTTGCAGTGCCAATTTTCCAGAGATCGATTCTCTGGAAAACTGGCACTGCAACTTCACGGGAGTTGAAATCCCGTGAAGTTGCAGTCACAATTTGCCAGAGACTCGATTCTCTGGAATTGCTGACTGTAACTCCACGGGAGTTCAACTCCCGTGGAGTTTTAAGCAGAAATTACGCTTCACGGGAGTTGAACTCCCGTGAAGTTTAATTTCTCCATAAACTTCACGGGAGTTGAACTCCCGTGATGTTTCGGAGATTTTTTTACAAAAACCGACCTGTTTTCAGCGCTGGGCTGAAAACAGGTCGGTTTTTGCAATTATTTTGAAAAGGGGTTGGTTTTTGCAATTAAATGTGTAAAAGGGTTGGTTTTGAAAATTTGTCCAAGAAAGAAACATGGTAGAACCCCTCCCTTTTTTTTTCTTTTTTTTTCTTTTTTGTGAGTAATAGGCCCTATCATAAATTCTGAGCTTGTTTTCTCAAGTGGCCTGTTGATTTTCAAGTGGCCGCATTTGCTGTAGCAGGGTCACAGAGGGATTAGTTGATGGGGGCGTGGCCTTTATTGAGCAGACTGTCATATCTGGATTTGTCTTTGTCATCTAGCCTACCGTGAAGAATAGAAAAATTCTGCCTCAGACTTCACATAAGATCCTGGAACTCACGCCTGCTGACCGTTCAAAGCATATCAAGGTTAACTCCCAACTTGCGAGATACGTCCTCTTTTACTCTCTTTCTTTTAGCTGTTACAAGATTGTAATTCTTGCGTTGCGCTTGATGCGCTAACGATAATTACCCTTTCATTTTTGTGATTTTTGACTTCCTGACCAACAAAAGCCATGGAAATGATTTAACTCTGGAGGCAGCCTTACGTGAATCACTGTGTCTGCTTATTAGGAGAAAGTAAGACTGCACAGTTTCACTGGGACAACCCATTTAATGCCATTGAAACCCTTCAGCTAACTTCTTTTTTCCTTTCTTCCTTCTCTATCTTCTGTGCTTTGCGCAATGGTTCCTCCAAATCCTCCCCTCTTACTTTACCACATGTCTCTCTCCCTCCTCCTCCTCCTCTTCCTTCTCGTCTCGAAACAAGCTTCGTCTGCATCGAACGCCATTTCTCTGAACCAATCTCTCTCTGGAAAACAGAAGCTAGTCTCCGAAGGTAGCAATTTTGTGCTTGGCTTCTTCCAACCAGGTAACTCATCGTACTACTACATAGGAATCTGGTACAATAAGATATCACAGCTAACCCCAGTGTGGGTTGCCAACAGAGACGCTCCAATAACTGAGCCAACTACTGCTGAGCTCAAAATCTGTAGTGATGGTAATTTAGTTCTTTTAGACCAGTCAAATTCCCGTGTATGGTCGACTGATGCAAACATAACCTCCAACAACACTGTTGCTGTCCTCTTAGACGCTGGAAACTTTGTTCTCAAAGATGCATCAAACCCCAATAAAACTCTATGGCAAAGCTTCGATCACCAGACTGATACATGGCTTCCTGGTGGCAAGCTTGGAGTGAACAAATTCACTGGACAAATCCAACACTTGACTTCATGGAAGAGCTTAGATGACCCTTCACCTGGAATTTATTCTCTTGGTATAGACCCTAACGGATCAAGCCAATACTTCACTGTGTGGAACAATTCTGTTAACTACTGGAGCAGTGGAATTTGGAATGGAGAAATCTTTACTGCTGTTCCAGAGATGATGTCTCACTATTTATACAGCTTTCAATATGTTTCCAGCGATACAGAGCGATATTTCACTTATACTGTCCAGAGTAGCGATATTATCACTAGGTTCGTGATGGGTATCTCTGGACAAATCCAGCAGTTGACATGGGTAGAGAATAGCCAAGAATGGATCCTTCTTTGGTCTCAGCCTAAACAACAATGTCAAGCCTTTGCTCTATGTGGGCCTTATGGTAGCTGCAATGAAAACGCATATCCCTTTTGTACGTGCATCAAAGGGTTCAGGGAGCAGTCTCCTGCTGATTGGGCATTAGGTGATCGAACAAGAGGCTGTGTAAGGAAAACAAAGTTGCAGTGTGGAAAGAATAATTCATCTCGGCAGAAGAAAGATCGGTTTTTTACAATGTCTAACATGAGATTTCCTGATAACATGCAAACTTTCCAAGTTGGGTGTGCTTCAAAGTGTGAACTAGCTTGCTTAAACAACTGTTCTTGCAATGCTTATTCATTCAGTGGTCGTGCTTGCTCACTTTGGTACGGAGATTTGCTTAATCTCCAGGAGATGTATACAGGACCAAGTGGAGGTACACTTTTCCTGCGTCTCTCTGCTTCAGAATTCCGAAGTCCCAGAAAAGAGAAGCGAGTTGTTATCATAGAAATAGCTTGCAGCATAATAGGCACTTCAGCTTTACTGGCTATTATTTATTTGCTGATTTGGACAAGGAAAAGAAAAGGGATGATGGGCATACCAGAAAGTGCGGAGGGTGGATTGATAGCATTTAGATATAATGATTTGCGGCGTATGAGCAATAATTTCTCAGAGAAATTGGGGGAAGGTGGATTCGGTTCAGTATTCAAGGGTGTTATGCAAGACTCCAAAGTCATAGCTATCAAGAAGCTTGAAAGATATTCACAGGGAGAAAAGCAATTTCGTAGTGAGGTAAGCACAATTGGGATAGTTCAACATAGCAACCTTGTTAGGCTTCATGGGTTTTGCTCAGAAGGAAACAACAGACTACTAGTCTATGAGTACATGCCCAATGGATCATTAAACACTCAATTGTTCCATAACAACCCTAACAATGTTTTAAACTGGAAAAGAAGGTACCAAATTGCCCTTGGGATTGCTCGAGGTCTGACTTATCTCCATGATCACTGTCGAGATTGCATCATTCATTGTGACGTTAAGCCAGAAAATGTACTCTTAGATGCATCTTTTGCTCCAAAACTAGCAGATTTTGGCTTGGCTAAGCTGCTAGGCCGAGATGCTAGCAGGGTTCTAACTACAATGAGAGGAACTATAGGATATCTGGCGCCTGAGTGGATTTCAGGTTCTGCCATCACAGCAAAGGCTGATGTCTATAGCTACGGGATGATGCTCTTTGAGATAATCTCAGGGAGGAGGAACTTTGAGCAGACTGATGACCAAAAACCTCGGTTTTTTCCTACTTTAGCGGCCAGAAAACTTGTTGATGGGGATGTAACCGGAATTTTGGATCAGAGATTGGAGGGTGATGCAAAGTTGGAAGAGGTGATTAGAGCCTGTAAAGTTGCTGTCTGGTGTATTCAAGATGATGAAAACTGTAGGCCTACAATGGGACAAGTGGTTCAGATACTAGAAGAGGTACTTGAAGTTAATATGCCTCCTATTCCACAAGCTCTTCAGATGTTTGATGAGAATCTAGGAACCGTGGTTTTCTCAGAATTGTCTTTAAATCGAAGCTCTGAGGTTAAAGAAACTTCTAGTACTTCTGCAACTGGAAGTCTTCTATGAATTCTAATGTCAAATATGGTAGAATGTATGAATCTTTTTCCTATTGTTAAGTTTCTAAGTATGTTGAATATGTTGTGTTAAATTAAGTATTGGGTATTGGGTTAATAGGCTATTACCCGTTAACCTTAACCCTATTTGTATGGCGATATATATCTCTCTTATTATCTCAATAAACAACAAGTTAGGGTTTTGCTCTCTCTATTATCTCTTTCTACATGGTACCAGAGAATGAAACCTTAGCCGCTACAAATCCTCATTCAAAAACCCTAGCCGCCACCGCCTCTTCTCCTTGCCGCCGCTAGCTGCCGTTGCCACTACAGTACCTCCGCTACAGTACCACTACAGTGCTGTCGCTACAGTGCTGCCGCTACAGTACCCCCTTACAGCGTGTTGCCTATTCCCTCGACATCTTAGTCTTCGAACTGATGAGAGGATAGATATTGGGTGGCGATACCATTCCCTCACTGGCTGCTACATTCTCTAGAGTCATGCAGGTCTCTACTGGTGTTATTTCTGATACTATTGCACCATCTCCACCTACAATGGATCAGTCTGCCATATTCTTTGGTCGGGGCAGAGGTCGCGGTCGTGATCGTGATCGTGGCCATGATTCAGGAGGAAGACGTGGCTCCTTTGGTGGGAGGCCATGTGAATTTGATAATGGCTCATGTCAGTGTGGTCACTGTGGGAGAACCAATCATATTTCTGAGAAGTGCTGGGAGAAGTTTGGTCGTCCTCAGTGGGCCCAGGTAGCTGATACTAAATCGACTCACTCATCTATTACCGCTACTACTTCTGGTGGTCCAGCTGTTACTGCTCCTACTGTTCAGATTTCTCAGGTAGATTATGAAAGGTTACGCCAGCTAGAACTCTCTCAGAACATTCATTCTGCTACTCATGCATCCTCTTCGGGTATGGATGCTTACATAGCTTCTTCTCACAAACCCTGAGTACTAGATTCTGGAGCCTCATCTCATATGACAGGTATAAAGGATCACTTTGTATCTTTACATCTTTCTAATAAGTTTCCTTCTATCGGCATTGCTGATGGTACTCTTTCTCTAGTTCGTGGTGATGGAGTAGTTCATGCTACTTCCTCTTTAAAACTAACTAATGTGTTATATGTTCCCAAATTCCCTGTTAGCCTATTATCCATTAGCAAGTTTACAAAATAAAATAACTGTAAAGTCACCTTCTTTCCATCTTATTGTGTTTTTCAGGACCTAGCAACTAGGATGAAGATTGGTTCGGGGCATGAGAGAGGAGGTATGTACTATTTGGACGACAGTGTGTCAGAGGCTGGTCTTGTTGCATCACAGTCTGACTCTACTTTATTGTGGCACTAGCGTTTGGGTCATCCTTCACTACAAAAACTTAGATCGGTAGTTTCTGTTCAGTCATCTATTTCCTTTTTAGGTTGTGAGTCTTGTGAACTAGGTAAGCATCATCGTGCTACTTTTCAGAGTCGAGTCGATAAACGTAGTAGCTTTGCTTTTGAGTTGGTTCATTCTGATGTCTGGGGTCCTTATCGTGTTCCCTCTGTGAAAGGTTTTCGATATTTTATTATCTTTGTTGATGATTTCTCTCGCATGACGTGGCTTTATCTATTAAAAGAGAGGTCAGAGGTCTCGCACGTTATTATACTCTTTTATAATGAAATAAAAATTCAATTCTCTACTTATGTCCGTATTCTTCGTACTGATAATGCTTTGGAATATATGAAAGGTGATGTTTTAAATTTTTATGCTCTTATTAGCATTATTCATCAGACTTCTTGCTCTCACACTTCACAACTATTTTCGTCAAAAGTTGCCTTCATCATTGATTTCATTAAAACTTCAAACGTTACAAATGAATTCAAATAACGAAAATAAAAATTATAACTTTCTTGAAAATAAACACAAGATCCGTTTATCGTCTCTTGCTTGCGTGAGTCTTTAGCCTGTGACGGGGACGTCGATATCCGTGGACTACCTGGCAATCAGATCTGATCCAGAAAAATCGGGCAGAGCTTCGTCGATTCGCGAGGAGATCTAGAAACTTGGAGCGCCTATCTCGGATAAAGCGAGATATTTGCTCTTCTTAGGATTACCGACGAGGGGTAATGCTAAGGAACGGATGCGGGCGATGTAGATCTGATGAAGAACTCTCTTGTGTTGAAGTGCTCGATCACTCTTCACTCCAGCAAGGCTTCGCCAATTCTCCAAAAATCCAGATCCTGAAAAGTGAGGCCTAAGGCTTCTATTTATAGGCAACACCCCTGGGGTGTCCCCAAAAATCTAGGACACCCCTGGGACGTCCCCAAAAATCTAGGACACCCCTGGGGCGTCCCCAAAAATCTAGGATACCCCTGGGGCGTCCCCAAAAATCTAGGACACCCCTGGGGCATCCCCAAAAATCTAGGACACCCCTGGGGCGTCCCCAAAAATCTAGGACACCCCTGGGGCGTCCCAAAAATCTAAGGACTACCCGCTGGGGACGTCCCAAAAAGTCTAGGACAACCCTGGGGCGTCCCCACGCCAAAAGTCTAGGACACCCCTGGGCGTCCACCAAAATCTAGGACCCCTGGGGATCCCTAAAAATCTAGGACACCCGCTGTAAATTCTTCGTCCGAAACAACAAAACCAAAAAGGGATTTTAGTGATTCGAATTAGTTGGAATTAGATAGAAACGAGAGTTCTATCAGCCCTACCCGATGGTTGGATTATCTTAGAACGAACGAGACACGAAAGGCGTTGTTCTTTTGTAAACATCGGCGGGGCTCTCGATTAGGCATGTGCCTTCGTTATTCCGGAAATTTGTCAGCTCACATAGTATGATAACTCCACTTCATAGCGTTCACCGACGTAATCGAATCCCTATGAACCAGGATAGTGACGTTCATCGTCGCTCGTTAACACTGAACCGGTTGTGGAGAACTATAGGCAATTTTTGATGCCTACAGATACCCCCTCCAAAGTGTTCCTGACTCGTTTCTTTTATAGAAGAGGCTGGAATACTTTGGATGTGATTGGTCCAGCCTTCAGTCGGTGTAAAGGACCTGTAGTTAGCTTCAACTCTTGGCTCCTTCGATTTTTTCAGTCTATTCGATGCTTTGACGAATAGCTGAAGTCCTTCCGGCGCTGCGTTTATCGTCTGGCCGTCGTCGGAGTCTCGAGTCTAAAACTGATGAGTTGAGTTTGGCTCGTGTCATTGCGTTGACTTAGAACTGACTATCTCCGTCATATCGTGCTGACTTAGGGTTTCAGATCACCGTATGTTGACCTCTTGTCGCAACGCGTTGACTGGCGTTGACCTAGGGTTACGCGTTGACCGGCGTTGACCCTAGGGTTTCGAATCAACCTGAGGAGAACCAGTTTATACTCGTGTACTCCTGGGAGTTTCGGGAATTAGTTTAGCCTCGTGTACCCGTCGGAGGTTGACAGGTTATCCTTAAGAATATTATACATAATATTTTCCAGGAACTTCCCGTCAATTGTGAGAAATAGTTTAGACTCGTATTCTCATTGGAGTATAGATACGGGCATCGAATATATTGAAAAATATCCGAAAAGAGGTTCAAAAGGCATATGAATTATTCCCGGGTCCTCTCCACGCACGCGAGCCCACTTTTCGCGGCTCACACTCGTGTGAATCAACAAGATGGGATGGGTCCGGTCCGGTTCAATCCCGGTTTGAATTGGTTCGGGTCATGTGGGTTCGGTCCAACTTGGGTCCGGTTCACTTAAAACTCCATTATATATATAAAAAAAAAATCTCCCCTCTTCTCTTTTTCTTTCCTCTCTTCTTTTCCAGCAAGAGGTTCCGCCTCCTCTTTTTCTTTTCTTTTTTTTCGTTTCCAGCAAGGGGTAGATTGTTGGCCGAAATTGGGATATGGGTTCTCTTATCTTTGATTGCAAAATATATATATATTTTTTTTATGCATATATATGGCCGAAATTTTATGGGGGTTCATGTGCAAAATTTGGTGAGGTTTGAGGGGTTTTTTGGCCGAATTAGGGGCTGAAATTTTGGGGGGTATATGTGCAAAAATGTGGACTGAAACTTGAAGGGGTATATGTGCAAAAATGTGGACTGAAACTTGAAGGGTATATGTTCAAAAATGAGGCCGAAACTTGAGGGGGTTATTTGCAAAAGAGGGCTACCATTTGAGGGGGTTATTTGCAAAAGAGCCATCCACAAAGTATAGGGGGGCTTATTTGCAAAAGGGCTAGAATTTTGAGGCTTGGATGTTTGACACAATTGGCTACAACTTTGAGGTGTGCTTCATGCAAAGAGATCACAACTGTTGAGGGTTTATTTGCAAAATTGCCCATAAATGTTTTAGAGGGACTTATTTGCAAAAAGAGCAGAAAATCCAAGGCTGAAAACCAAGAAGTTTAGATCACAAAACTACGATCAAAGTTTTGCGAAAACCAAACCGAAATTTGTGGAGGGTTTTTTTTGCAAAATTGGCTAGATTTTACAAAAAGGTTTATTTGCAAGATTAACCAAAATTGTGGGGTACTGGGGGTGCTATGTGATCAGGTATGATGACCATGTCAAAATCCAAAACCCTAATTTGTTGATTTGGGGGAAAACCGAAATTTGCATTGGGTTAGATTGTTGGCTGAAATTGGGATATGGGTTCTCTCATCTTTGATTGCAAAATATATATATTTTTTTATGCATATATATGGCCGGAATTTTATGGGGGTTCATGTGCAAAATTTGGTGAGATTTGAGGGGTTTTTTGGCCGAATTAGGGGCTGAACGAGCGTGTCCTTGACCCGAATTTAGCCTTGAACACGAAGGGTATTCTGGGTATTTCATCAAAATTTACTGCGAAGATGACAATCATTGTTTCACATGCACGAAATTTGTGGGTTTAATTAGACTTCAACTATAAAATCCTATTTATACACAGGATTTTAATTAAAGTTCTTAATTTCCCTTGGCCGAATTAGGGGCTGAAATTTTGGGGGGTATATGTGCAAAAATGTGGACTGAAACTTGAAGGGGTACATGTGCAAAAAATGAGGCCGAAACTTGAAGGGGTATATGTGCAAAAATGAGGCCGAAACTTGAGGGGGTTAATTGCAAAAGAGGGCTACCATTTGAGGGGGTTATTTGCAAAAGAGCCATCCACAGAGTATAGGGGGGCTTATTTGCAAAAGGGCTGGAATTTTGAGGCTTGGATGT